AGTGTTCTGCCCATCGATCCAATCTCCTAGATTGAGAATGAATAATATGTCCATCTTTCTCTGAGATTGTTTCGCTAACGGTCGGGTTCCTAATTCCGGTTTCCTTAACGAGTCTGAACAATTGTCTGCTATTACCTATTGCCGCTGCCTTTTCCATCTCTCTTGCTTTCGCTACCCACCACTGTTCGCGATCATTGCGTAGACTTCTTGTCAGCTTGCGCTTAAGCTGACTCCGCTCTTCACTATGTTCACAGCCAGGTGGAATGAGTTTCCGAGCATCTATCAGTGCGATAGATGCTGCTGAGACCCAGTGTCGTTCCCTAACCTTACGGGTTACCGTACTAGCAGATATCACTGCTGTTTCCACAGCTTTTCGGATATCATTCCATGCTGCCTCGGGGTGGGCATCACATACATGGCTGCCTAACTGCTTTCCTAGTTGTTCCTGAAATATACTCTTAGCTTGACTATCATTAAGTAGGCCCTAAGAGGTTTCCTTGCAGCGTCTTTCCTACGTTCAGTAAGACGCAAGCAAATACGCGCTCGCACTAGAGCATGATCTGAATCTAAGCATGTGCTCCAGAATGAGCGACAGTTTTCTATCGAGCCCCTCCATCGGTGGCTGATAGCGATGTGATCTATTTGGGTCCAACGTTGGGACGAATTAGGGGGTCGCCATGTTAAAAGATGTTTTTCCTTATGCTTAAAGTTAGTATTTGCAAGGAACAGGCGATTATCTGAGCATAGCTGCAACAGACGGTCGCCATTATCTGTTCTTTGAGCCAAGACACCATAAGATCCAACTAGGTGTCTTTCCCTATCGCTTAGTTTACCTACTTGAGCATTAAAGTCACCGGCCACTATTACTACATCAGAGCGCCTAGCTTTTCAGAGAAGGTCGGAAAGCTTTCTGTAAAACTCATCTTTTACATCATCTGAGCTGCAGTCAGTGGGAGAATAGGCAGAAACGACGAAGAGGCAACAACGGGTGTCCCCATCTCTCCGGATTCTTACTGTTCCGTTCAGTCGGACAGCGCACAAACGGCTGTCTACTGGTATCCACTCTAAGAGAGCTAGTTCTGCTATACCTACGCCGGCGAGGCCACGGGAAGCAGAATCGGGGCTCCCAGATACACGAAGTGTGAATCGAGTCGGTCCTTTATTGGCATGGTGAGGTCAGATGAATGACGCTACTCGGATCTTGTATGCGCGTTTCGGAGACGCAGCACACATCGATGGCGCGAGATTCTAAAGTCCTAGCTAAGGAAGCCTGCTGTCCTATTTGGCACAGTGTTCGGACGTTAAAAGCTCTTACGTGTAGTTTAGAGCGTGGTTTCAGGAGACCAGGAATAGCGTTCCACGTACTCAAATCGTTTGCCCTAGCGGTGCGAGGTGATAAAGTGACGTGAGGAGGGTTAGTCATGGAGATAAGAGAGGTATTAGGAGGTGTAGGAAGGATTTGAATGTGACCAACTTGGTCTCGTGTGTTGTTACGGGTATGAGGGCTGATGTTACTACCCGGCTGCCTACACCGTGGAAGGGTATTTCTTGAGGAACCTGAAAAGGAAATTGGATTAGTGTTGGTCTTGACGACCTGGGAGCGTGACCGCAGAGCCCATGGGACAACTGCTTGAGGCCGGTCGCGCACGGCCTTTTTGTGGAAGGTTTTTGATGTGTTAGCTCCGTTCTTCAAAGGGCCTTACCGCCGGAGACGGAAATCCATGAGGTAAGGTGAGGTGTGACATTTTTAGGGTCGACCTTTTCTAACCCAACCCTTCCTTGTGGGAAGGCAGCATCGCTGTCATGTTGGTTGTCTGAGGGAAACACCTTACTGCCGTCACACCTCTCTACAGTCAGCATTACTTCGCCCTCAGACCTTGAGTTGCTGCTTTTAGTCTTACCGTTCACCAATCGACCTGCCTGGCATGGTAGAACCTACAGGAACATATGTTCCAGCCCATATAGCTCGGTTGGGTCATCACGATAGGCAAGCCCGACCACCGCGTCAAGGTAGCAGCTTCGGTCGGGGACGTAGTAAATAATGATAATAATAATAATAACAATAATAATAATAATAATAACGTGAATCGTTTGACTGTTAATCGAAGCAAGTATAGTATTTTCCATAAGTATTGTCATTTCATTCTGTTTGTGTGTGGGCTGTGATACTGCCCGGGTGCCCAGACCGAAGCAGGTGGTTATCTTAGGGGGCCACACCCCGAGCCTTTGACCTTAAGATCTGACCCACAAGGCAGTGGAGTATCGTGAGGAGATGCAGTCTCATGGTAGCCAGTGACGAACGATTGGTTCATACGCCATTTGTTCCCTCAGGATTATTTATTTATTTATTTATTTATTTCAACACATAGATAATGGTACAAAGAGGCACCAAATACATATGCGCCACACAAATCTCATCCGATATGTGTGAGGGCTGTGATACTGCCCGGGTGCCCAAACCGAAGCAGGTGGTTTTCTTAGGGGGCCACACCCCGAGCCTTCAACCCAAAGGTCTGATCCAAAAGGCAGTGGAGCATCGTAAGGAGATGCAGTCCCATGGAAGCCGGTGACCAACAATTGGTTCATTCGCCATTTGTTCCCGCAGGATACTGGAGCCCATGTGCACCATTGGTTTGGAATCCGGTTAAAGCGCCGGACATTCGCTTTTCGTCCTCTCATTTTCGTAAACAACACCCCCGCCACGAGAAGGCAGTGAGTAGGACTTCCCTGGCAGAGGCTATATACGCGTGGCCGTGTGAGAGTATTTCGAGAGGGAGAGCGGACTCTCCCCACTCTCGGCCGTACCAGGGCATTTGGGGGCTCCCTCAGGATACTGGAGCCCATGTGCACCATTGGTCTGGGACCCGGTTAAAGTGCCGGATATTCGCTCTTCGTCCTCTCATTTTCGTAGACAACACCCGTAGTGCGAGAAGGCAGTGAGTAGGACTTCCCTGGCAAAGGCTGTATACGCGTGGCCATATGAGAGCATTTCGAGAGAGAGTGCGGGCCCACCCCACTCTCGGCCATACCAGGGCATTTCGTTACTACTATAGACTATCGAGGTAACATCTACGGTCAGTGGACGTCAGTGTCAACCAGATGTTGTCGGAATATTACTAATCCTTTGAAGCCACTTGACTATTATCAATACTTTTCGAACATTCTAAACTCAAATAGACCAGGTTTTATAAGCACAAGATAGAACTTTCTGAACCAAAGCTGTAGGCCTGTAAACTTTTGTTATCAAACTAATATTATGCCAGTGCCAAAGATCATACAAATTGCTACAGTGCTTCTGTGCTTTTGCTGTACGTAAACTGACCATATCTGTCACCACCATCACTCGCGTCTACTCGACTTCACAAACTTGACATTTTGCAACAGCTCATTACAATGAATGAGTCCAGTCATGGGTTGTTCCCAATCTTGTAGAAATAATTAGGTCTTTGATGATTCATAGTACACTGGGCCTACGCGGGCAACAATGACCAAATGATTATGTGCGATTTGCTTAGTTTATATGTCATCGCATATTCAAATAATGTAATCGTCCGATTGAAGTCCGGAAAATCATTCTGTTGGTAGCGGATCTGTTGTAGCAGACTTCAAAAAAGCTGTTCCCAGAATATCGACGCTGGAAAAATTAAGGAGAAATATCGAAATTACACAACCTTATCTAAATCAACAGCCAGTTCAGAATACTGAAGTTCGATGGTCCTATCTATTCACTCCGTTTTACATGTCCTGACATAAAGCTTTTGATATGTTGGCAGGCTTTCCAGATATAGGTTCCCTCTGAAAAAGACCCCTACGATACAATTCCGTCAACCAAATAAAAAGTGGTATTGATGTCAAAAAAAACAACATAACATTACCTCAATACTTTTGAAAGGGTTGGAGAATTTGGCAGAGAATGAAGCTGTTATCGATACATCCCCTGCTTGACCGAAGTGCCGACCAACCTCACGCGACTAAGTGTTTTACGAGTTTTACACCATAACCAATAACATTGTATCGTAATCTAATAAAATTCAAAGTATTTCTTTTCATTTTGTTACTTTAGTTACTGGTGTTAGGTTTCGAGTACTAGACAAACCTGGAAAACTGGTTAGCAAAACTAAAAAAATCCATCGATCAAGGTGACTGAGATATGTCTTCCATATCCCCGATCACCGCCTACCTTGACACGGTGTTGTCTGGAGTAGTAGTAAGTTGGAAGAAAGCTTAGAGAAGCTAAACCAAGACGTATTGTCAATTCATGAAGTCATTGATTGTTGGATTGACCCATGATGGTGGGTACAAATTGCTTATTTGTTGTCCACGTGGTTAACTTCATATTTACAGAAATGCCGATTGATGTTTCTGGTTATGCTATTTGATTTAATGAGTTTAGAAATTCCAGTGATTTGTATCTAATTACAATACAATAACAGCTTAAATAATATAATACTTGTTAACAAGTCTTGAAATGGATGATGATTTCACTTGTCACTTTCAACTAATCTTTCCTAAGTTAATTACTATTCCTAGCTCAGTTTCGTAGATTTTCCATACTGGAAGTTTTTGTAGTTCAGGACTCAAAGGACAAATACGTTTGGTGTTTTTTAAACATTGACATGTGTTTGTGAATTGGGATATCTTTCAACGTAACTCATTTGCCATACACAGCTTTCTGTAATGGGCTTTAAGCCAAAGTTCTTGTGTCACACTTAATGATACTACCCTAGTTCACAAACAGAAGTAGATAGATACAAGCTTTGAACCTTGAACCTATTGGTGAAAACCAAGGCACTTTTACCCCTAATTTATTTCTCACTTCGATCGTAAACGTTATGATAATAAGATTTTTACGATCAAAATTCAAATATTGTGTTCATTTCTATTTTGTTTTACATATTGTTTTTCATTTGTTAACAATATTCTGTTAATAAATTTTCCATTTTTGACAAAACTTTGTAAAGCATTTATATTTATAGAACTTCCGTTTTTTTGGATTTCAGAGTACAAAAGTGGGCGCTCAGACACTGGGAAAGTTGGAGTCCCAAGGCCGTAGGTTTTCAATTTATTTATATAATTTGAAAATTTTGTCATATGTTTTCATTTGTCAATTTCGTACCATATATCCTTGTTTTACTCTCTAAAATCAGCAGTTTTATGTTCATGATTAGGTTGTGTCTAGAGAAAAACTATGAAATTTGTTATTTAACTGCAAAAATTACCAAGTATTGTTATTGCCTAGTCGTATAGAGATTCTTAGAACTCTAAAGAAATAATCAGTATCTTTTTGTTGTGAATGCCAGGACGGTATCTAATAATAATCGCTTGGCACAACTGAGAATCTAGAAAGTTCTCGCTTTACATCGAAATGTTCATAGTCTAATCGAGATAAACGAAATTAGATTGATACTCACTACCAGTTTGTGTAAACATTGTTTTAATATTTTTAAGTTTTCTTGATTTAAGCTCAGAAATAAGTTATTTATTTATCTATCCTCAGATATTCAATGAAGAAAACATATCGATTGCTAAAAATGGTGTTGTCACAAGATTGTTAGTGGCAGTAGGTAATGTTAAATATAAAGACTACTCACAAAGGGCACTAAAAAGTCTTAGTTGTATGAATTTTCGATAATATACAGTATTATACTCATTCAATACTATGTACTATTTTATTGACAGCACTATAGTTTCAAAGTCACTATTAGGCGACAGATTTTGATATGCACATTTCTACCGTCACATTCTATATATTTCAGCAGTCTAGATTATGTATCGATTGCTTGATAGCCACAGTATTCGATTCATATTCACTCGTTCATAAGATCCGGTTTCCATCCTACGTCTGACTGACGAGTTAACCCCATGACGGGGAGTAGAATACCACAGAACTTGGTTTGATTGTCGAGTTGTAGCTAATTTTTGAATGTTGGCCCGTTTGAGCGTTTCGTTGTTAACTAAACAGACATAAAAAACTGTAAATCTGATTATATAATCATGACGTGGGAGAATAAGCCTTGTTACTAATTGGTGTATTTGTGTGTGATATCCTAGTGTACGCTTATTCGATGAATTTTGATATGTTTGTGGAATACGGACCATAACCTGTTATTTTAACTTGTTGGTTCCCGTTGGAATCCCATGTAAAGAAATAATTGAGTGGTTGGAGGTGATATTCTGTGACATGTTAATTTACGGAAGTGGCAACTTAACTACATATCAGTCAAATAATTATCTTGTAACCTAGTATTGGATATAAGAAATTCTCGGACGTCTCAATTCACTCAACAAAGTTACATCATTCATAAAGATTTGCAACATAAAAAACCAATAATTACGTAATCTTTAGCGCTCTAGTCATCGAGTTATTCGCTAATAGGTTAATAGGTATGCTTTTCATCATTTTCGAGTTTCTCCATTTCCGTCCTCTTTGGTTAGTACATATCTATTAATCCGACAGTCAGTTAGTCAGTCAGCTACAACGTAGGACCAGGCACATATGTGCATCGGTCCAGGTTGCCATACCGCATCAACACAACAAGATGAACACCAGATTCATAACAGTGGTTAGGTAAAAGGTGGTAATATATAAGAGAAAGATTGCATATAGAGATATAGTACAAGCAAAAAGAATTGGTTCGTAGAAAGAAGGATATGAAGCGATTTTAATCTCATAGTTTAAGGGAAGACAGGGAGTGTATACACCGACGCCATTGTGATCGATTATGAGCCATGTCACCAAGAGTCTCCAACCATTGGTTACGATAGTCACGCGGACCCCAACCAAGTAGTCTGCATCTACCAACATGGCTCAGACTAGAAGTTAGTGACTTCAAGCACTGATGCCACGTTTTGGTTTGGCCGCCCCTAACTTTCTTCCAACCATTTCCAATTCCGGATAGCATTGCACGTCGTGGTAATCGGTGTTCAGGCATACGTAACACGTGGCCCAACCATCTCAGTCGATGAAGATTCATAACCTCATCAACTGATTTACCATCCTTTCCTAATACCCTGCGTCTAACCTCACTATTACTTACCCGGTTATCGCAGCAGACGCCAGCAATATTTCTAAGACATCTGTGGTCAAATACTAATAGCTTACGAGTGTCTTCTACTCTTAATGGCCATGTTTCGCTGCCGTAAATTAAAACAGAACGGACTGCCGCGCAGTATACTCGTCCTTTTATTGATAGACGGATATCTCGCCTTCGCCACAGGTGACGTAAGTTGGCAAAAGCCAAACGAGCTTTTCGAATCCGTGCTGAGATTTCGTCCGATACCAACCCATTGGGGCTGATCAGACTTCCAAGATAAGTGAAGTTGTCAACGCGTTCGACTACTTCACTCCCTATCCTTAGTTCAGGTGTTAACGCAGACCAGTCCTGAAGCAACAACTTGCATTTCGAGGGAGAGAAGCGCATTCCAAACATCCTTGCATTGTTGCTCAGTGCTACCAGAAGACTCTGCATTTTGTCAGCGTCTTCACCAAACAGGACTATGTCATCTGCGTATCCTAAGTCGATAAGTGGACCTCCTGGAAGGAGATCAATACTCGAGAACTCAGTCGACGAGAAAGTTATTTCCATCAGTAGATCTATGATGAAGTTAAACAAAAATGGGGAAAGTGGACAGCCTTGACGGACACCACTTGAGGTTGCAAAACTAGATGACAGTTCGCCATAAGCTCTCACTCGACTAGTAGTGTTCGAGTAAAGAGCCTTTACAAGGTTTATGTACTTCTGGGGTACGCCTTTCAATGACAGACACTGCCACAGAATCTCGCGGTCTACCGAGTCAAATGCTGCTTTTAAGTCAAGAAAGACCACCATCGTCGGACGCCGATAAGTATGCCTGTGTTCTAGAACCTGACGAATGGTGAATATGTGGTCGATGCAGCCACGACCAGGTCTGAAGCCAGCTTGATTTTCTCGTGTTTGCAGTTCACGAGTTTTAGTTAGGCGTCTGATTATTATTGAGGCTAGTATTTTAGATATTATATTAGTTAGACTAATCCCTCTGTGGTTGTCACAGGATGATTTTGACCCTTTCTTATATATTAAGACGATAAGTGATTGCGACCAGTCAGATGGGATAAAGTCTAACTCCCAGATCTTATCTAAAATAGTAGTCAACCTAATCGCTAAAACTGAACCACCATCCTTAAAGACTTCTGGAGCCAGTCCATCTGGACCAGCGGCCCTTCCTCGTTTCAGATTATCTATAGCCTTTTGAACTTCAGCAAGATTTGGGCGACCTACTTCAATGTTCCATTCACGCTGTCTGGGAATGGAGGGTAGTTGTAGAGTAGCTGAAGGCCAGCTGAACTGTTCTTTAAAATGTTCAGCCCATCGTTCTAAACGTCTGGACTGGGAGCAGATGAGTGTGTCGTCTTTTTCCGATATAATCTCACTTACACTTGACTTATTAATTCCAGTTTCTTTTATTAGTCTGTAAAGTTGTCTTGTGTTCCCTATAGTCGCCGCCTTTTCCATCTCTTTTGCTTTCGTTGCCCACCACTGCTCACGGTCGTTTCTTAGACTTTTTCTTAACCTAGATCTGATTTGTTGTCGCTCTTCATCATGTTCGGAACCTGATGGGACGAATTTGCGAGAATCCATCAGTGTGATAGACTTTGAAGAAATCCACTGGTTCTTTGAAACTCTGTGGTTTAAGTTGCTAATAGATGTCACTGCTGCTTCTACAGCTGCTTGTATGTCTTTCCAAGCAACATCTGGGTCAGCCTCGTCTTCAGAATTACCTAAGTGTGAACTCAGTTGTTCTTGGAACCTATTTCTGGTTTTCTCGTTACTCAATTCAGTTCTAATGGGTCTTTTTAATGTGGCCTTTTTGCGTCCGGTGAGGCGCAAGCAGATGCGTGCCCGTATTAGGGCGTGGTCGGAGTCCAAGCAGGTACTCCAGAATGAGCGACAATCTTCTACCGACCCTCTCCAACGATGACTGATGGCAATATGGTCTATTTGAGTCCATCGTTGGTTCGATTAATCCGACAATCATACTCAGAGTAGAACCTGGCACATATATACATCGGTTCAAGTTCCCATGCCCATCAACACACTGAGATGGAATTGTCAAAAATTTCTAGACTACTAAGGGTAGTAACAGTATTTGTGATAATAGGAATGGTGGAATATTGAAGATATAATTCGAGAAGAAAACACAAATTAGCTGATTAAAAGGAAATTAGAAATTAAGATCCTAGTGAAGGCAAAGAGTGGATCGACCTACGACATTGTGAACGATTGTGGCGTATGTCACTCAGAATCTCTAATTATTGGTTACGATGATCACACAGACGCGAATCAGGTAGTCTGTACCTGCATATATGACTCAGTCTAACAGTCAGTGACTTGATGGAGTTTTGGTTTGGCCTCATCTACTTTTCTCTCAACCAACTTGTAGACCAGCGAAGATGTGCGGTTTAGGCAATCGATGGATGGAGATATTTAATGCATGTCGTGACCATGTTGTTCCATAAAGATTCACTACGTAACCAGTTGATTTTGCATTTTTAACTAGTACCGTGGTTATAACTTCAGTATTGCTCACTAGGTGATTTGAGAGTACACGAGCGGTACTCCGAATACGCTTATGATTAAATACTAGCAGTCTAAGAGCATCATTAATTGTTCATTGGGATGTTTTCCATTAATAAAATAGCAGGGAGCGAACTGCTCTTCCGCATACTTTTCATTTCGTTGGGAGATGGATATGTCGCTTACGGTGAGGGTGACTGAAATTGGCGAAAGTCGACTGGACTTTCTGAATTGGTATCGAAATTTTGTCAGACACCAAACGATTACGAATGATGATAAGTGAGGTGGTCGACACGCTCAACTACTTGACTCCGCATTGTTAGTTGAGCCGTTCAGACAGACCAGTCGTGAAATAAGATTTTCCTTTAGGAGAGTTATATTCATGATAAGAATTACTTGATTGTTGGTTAAGGTTGTCGGAAGTGTGTGGATTTCGTCAGACACTTCACCAAACAGGACTATATAATCAATGTATTTGAATTGAAGAGGTGAGTCTCGTGATTGAAGATCGATTTGTGGAAAGTAGTGAGTCGATGAGGACGTCATGTTGGAAGGAATGTCTGTGACAAAGTTGGATGAAAATGAGGAAAAATGTTGAATCTAACGAGTAGGCTTTAAGATTGGTGATTGTGATGTCAGTTCTGCATAAGCTGTGATTGGATGCGTAGTGTTTGAGTGGAAAATCTGCACAAGGTTAATGTAGTTTTCTTATACTGCTCTGAATGATTGACACAGAGAGAAGCTGTGGAGTAAGGAAGCCGAATGTCTCTGGTTACCACAATAGGATTTCCGTTCCGTTGTTGGTTTGAATGATGAGCAATGGAGACCAGTCAGGTGGTATAATGTGGCGTTGTAGTAGTTATTTTTGTGAATATTTGAATTAACCGAGAGTGTACCAGTATCCTTAGAGATGTCAGGGTCAATTGATTAGAATCTGGTGCTCTCTGTCACTCTAGATTAGCTATGACTTTCCCTACTTCATTAGAAGTCGGATGACTTGTATTGACTGTCAAAACTGAATACTACTCTCGACGGTCTAAAAGTGATTTCACACACGCAACTGCCTTTTGATCTTGAAGAGAAGAAGAACAAATATTTGAGGAGAACAAAATGAATTTGTTTTATCTCGTTTTTGTTCTACTTATTTGTTTACAACTTGTAATATTAAAAAGGTTATGAATACGAGATTGGGTTTTATGACGTATGTGAGTGTTGTTGGGAAGGGTCGTTTGCTGTCTATCGTTGCCGCTCTTTCCGTCACTGTCCACGATCATTGCATAGACGTTTACCAGTCCACGTTTAATTTGCCTCTGCTCCTCGTCATGTTTGTAGCATTGCTGGGTGATTTGCTGAACATCTGTCGTCTCAATAGATCCCGCTAAAATCTACTGATATTTTCAACTTCTTGGTTACAGTCGCTGTTAGGTATCGTTGCTGTTTTTACGTGTCTAAATATCATGCCCAGTCATACCGGGGAAAACATTTTGACGATTGACTAAATGATTTTCCTGTTCCTGAAATATGCCCCTGATTTTTTTGTCGTTAAGATTTCCTTAGCGTAACCCATCTGCGTCCAGTTAAACGAAAACGAATGCATTCTCGTATCCAAGCATGATCAGAGTCTAGATATGTACCCCGGGATGAGCGGCTGTCTTCTGTCGAGCCTCTAATGTTGGCTGTTGGTGATACAATCTGTTTGGGTTCATCCTTGGGTCGATCATGGAGGTCTCCATGTCAGATAATCTCTATCTTCCTGCTCGAAGTTGGTGTTTGCTAAGAATAGACGGTTATCTGAGCGTTTTTGTAGCAGACCATCGCAATTGTCTGTTCGTTAAGCTGGTACACTGTGAGACTTGTTTAAGTGTCTTTCCCTTTTGTTTATACTACATACCTAGGCGTTAAAGTCTCATGCTACGATTACTACTTTTGAGCGTTTGGTTTTTTGTAGGAGGGCAGAAGACTTTCTGTAAATCTCTTACCTTCATCCAAACTGCAATCAGTGGTAGCGTTTGTAGAGACGACGAAGTAGCAACGGTGTGCTCCAATTTTTTCATGTTCTTATCACTGCATTTAGTTGGATAGTGCACAAGCAACTGTCTATTGTAATCCAATCTTAGTGATTCTGTTCTGCTTTGGGAATAAATGTCTATATCATTTGTAGGAAATGGTTATAAACTTTCTTCAATTATTGCTCCGTTTTACGATGATATATTCTATGGTCACAAGACAGGCTTATTGAATTATTCATTTCCAGAACAACTAAGAGGGATCGATTCGGATATGGATACCATTCGTGAAGATCTACACGAAGCACAACGTGACCTTGATGAGATCGATAAGTGTTGTGGTTTATGCGTTTTACCGTGGAGGAAGTAAGTTACATTTTGTATTTTAAGGTATCCGTAACGTCCGAATGTTACCACTAATAATGAAACCGGCGGGGTGTGTAAAATGATAGTTTTGTCCCAGAATCGATGCTCTAATTCTAAAGGAACAGATTTCCTAAACGGAGCCATGGATTAACTGATTAAGTTATATGAATGTACACCAATATGGGATTGTGAGGATGGTATAACTTCATAGGGATCTCAAGTCGATCTGGATTAGACAACTGATGAAGACCTGTGAGCACTGGACGACCGTTTTGTTCTAACGTGGGACTCCTCAGCAGCACACATCCATAACTGCAGCCGGCAATCGAACCCAGGACCTTGGGTATCACTGGCGAATGTTTAACCTCTGGATCACTGAACCAGCATCTAATGGTGTACAGGTCTGACTTCAATAAATTAGGGATATTGCGCAACCATCTATTATTTTGGGTTGATGTGTCACGTGCTACTTATGCGAACAGATGTCAGTAGTATGCAGCTAGGATTGGAAGTAGGATTCTTACAATCAAGAGCAAAATGCGGAAAAGAGAAAAAAACGTTTGGAGCGTCAATAGTAATGGAAGGACGATGGAATGCGTAAGAGACAGTTCAAGGAAAGTGTGCAAATGGTGTATTCAATGTATTGTTTTCATAATTTTGACAAACTCAGTCTGTGGTTTTGCTTAATACAATAAACTGGTCTACCCTACCCAAGTTTTCGTCCATTAAGCTGGTACCTTCTTCACACCCGACACGGTCAAATTCCAGTGTCCACAGCTTCGCAAGCGCATTGGACATTTGGTAGTTGTTTATTTCGAATGCCAATCTCATCGGTAAAGTATAATTTGCTTTACATCTTTCTATTTCTCATTTTCGTTTAGAGTCAAACCAGATGCGAAAACGTCGAAATATCCAACGAGTGGGAATGGTTATCTAACTGGAACTAGTAATAATTATCAAGTTAACTCTTATCAGCCACAGTCAGGATTTCAAATTCAGCAAAACCAACAAAAGAGTGGGCCTTTCATCACCAGGTATACAGGTTTATTCCTATTCACTTCTTTTATTCCCCCCATTTTTGGACTGCGTCATTATATTTTATTCAGCGTTTTTAATTAACCATTAAAATGTACCAGATACATATGATAAGTGATATTTACATGAATAATTTCTCTCCTTCCTCCGAATCCTACATAAATAGTAGATAGACTGTACTATAAATGCACCAAGTGTGGTGCGAAATTCAGAGTATGTCAATCTTATCCTCTTCAAAATGTTTTAAAATTGCGGCAACGCACTAATTTCATCTTTATTGCCACTGTTCATAACACACCTAGTAGTCTTCAAAAGTTAGAGCTCTCCGGTTGTTTCATTATTTTACGTCTTATAGTTTCTGAATGATTATTTTTTACTTCAGTGACAATCGAAACCTCAAGGTGGTACTAAAGTATTGGAGTATAGTTTTCTATTTTATCAAGTAACTGTAATTTTGTGCTAAATAATCGGTTGTGCTCACTTGTGTTCTCTCTCACTAATTTTGATGTCGCTACTTCCACTAAGGATGAAAATTTCATGACCGAAGGAATTTGAGGATGGAAATGTGCTGAGCTTCCCGAAGGAGTTTGAGGCCGTGGTGGAGCTGGTGGAAGTGAAGGAGCCTAAGGCAAAGATGATGGTGCTGGTGACGCTGCTGAAGCCAGGACAGAGAACTACTGAAGATGTTCCGGCTAGCGAATTCATCGATCGATGGTGACCCATTGGTGCTGGCAGTGGAGCTTACCAGGTTGTTGGATGGGAAGTCGGACTCACAGTTGTTGGCGTCACGGTGCTGAGATAAATTTTCCGTTCGTAGTAACCACAAGCCTATCGAGACCGATATTAGGAGCAGATTTCCTAAGAGAAGTAAAAGCAGTAGTTTACTTAAGAAGCCGTAAGGTGGTCACAAAGTCCGGTTTATTCCCAATGCATGAAAGTAGCGAAGTATCTGAGATAAGAGTGGCAACAGACTTTTCGATGAAGAAACCAAACGTTAACGAGTTGTGCACAAGTTATACAAAACTGTTCACGGGAGACAGAGAGCCCTATGGTTTTTGTTACAAAGTAAAGCACGAAATCCCGATATATTTGCACCACGTCGTGTCCCTGTGCATTTAGAGGCCGAGGTAAATCGACAGGTCCAGGAGATGTTAAAAGAAGGTATAATTGAGGGAGAAGCCAGTTCGTATAACCCTCTGGTACTCTGGATAAAGAAATTGAATGGAATATATAGATTTTGTGTCGATTTTAGAGAACTAAATAACATAACAGAACTGAAACCTTGTGCAATATCAACAGTAGCGGAAACATTAGATCGGCTGCAGAATGCTACTGTATTTACAGTGCTGTATTCGCGGTCAGGTTATTGGCAACTGCTTATAAACGAGCGATCGAAACAAGACAGCATTTACTGTACGTGATAAACATTATCAATTTAGACGAGTGCCGTTTGGGTTGACGGGTGCACAGTTTACGCTCAGAAGATTAATGATACTGTTGCTCGGGGGTCTAGATAACGTCGAGGTGTATGGTAACGAATTAATAATGACACGTTGTAGTTTGCGAAAGGTAGCGTCACGTTGTTAGGGCATAAAGTGGGAAATGGAGAAACAAAACCAGTACCGAAGAAGATTCTAACCATAAAGAACGTTACAGTACAGTTCTTGGGAAGGGCAGCTTTCTACGGTCGGTTCGTCAAGAACTTCAACGAAATAGCAGCACCCTTATATAAGTCATTGAGCAACACTAAGTTTACGTGGATTGAGACCGTCCAACAAACGTTCAACCGAATCAAAAACATGCTAGACAACCTCCAGATGACGCTCAGACTGCCTGGACCTGAGAAACAGTTTACAGTGGCCGCAGATGCAAGTAATCATGGTATAGGTGCCGTCTTGAGTCAGTCTGACAGAGTGGTTGAATACGCGAGTCGCGTTTTCACACCCACTGAACATAATTATTCAAAGGTCGAAAAACAGCGTTTAGCAATTGTGTGGGCAGTAGACAAATGGAGACTACCTTTTAGGTAGACGATTCCACATTGAGACTAATCATAAACCCCCTCAATGACTGAAAACAGCAAGAGACCCTCCGTGGAGAGTTGGAACGATGGATGTTACGTCTACAGGAGTACAACTTCAGTATCGGCCATGTTCCAGGAAAGGAAAACGTAATGGTGAACTAATTGTCAAGACCGAACATGGAAGCCGAGCTTCCGTTGACAGCATACGCAATGAATAGTATAAAGAGAAACCCACTAGAACTTGTCCGGCAGCAGAAAGCTGACCTTATACTTATAGAGGTAATCAGAGTGGTAAAAGAGGGATCAGACCTCGACACCGAGCAATGGACAAGGAGGTAATGATGTTGCTTCAGCAAAAGGAAAGACTGTATATGAAGCCCTGATTTATCAGGACGATGACGAAAATTGGGTGGCTGTAATCAGACTATTTCCTCAATACCGTTCAATCTTGTTAGTCACTATCGATCTTATGAAATGCTTTTTCTCCGTTGTATCACGAAAACATAATTATTTGTTATAAAGTGCTCTAATTAACTATAAAATCTATCATATATGATGAAGGCGTGAAGCTGTGACAATAGTTTAAAATTAATTTTACCTATCTAAATTTTCTTATAAGCAATTGACTTTCTAGTTCAGTGTTTATTAACTAGAAAGTTGTTTCTGTTGGAAATGATATTTCCCTTTTTTTCAAATCGACTTACAGAATCACCAATGACGCTCGTGAAGACGAAATGGAACAGAATTTACAACAAGTTTCAGGGATGGTATCTCAACTGCATTCTATGGCTACTGATATGAATCAAGAGATAACAACACATAATCAGATTCTTGATCGAATAGATCAAAAAGTTTGTTTTTTTGCACTTACCTTTATTTTATTATTCACTGTTTAGTACTGTCATCCTTTTTCACTCATTCCTCTAATTATCGACATCATTAAAGAATAGTGAGGTATATTGGTCAAAAAAGTCGAATAGTATCACTAGCTGTCATACGACAGTCATCTATTGTGACTCAAAGTCCGTGAGTACACGAATCTGTACTTGGTAAATGAAACTGATATCATAAGTTAGTCTTAATTCAACAGTCGTCGGTAATTCATCCAAGCTACCTTATGTATATTTCTTGTTTGTCAACTCTCAGCTAACTGCCTCTGAATCCCTATGACGTGTACCTGACATTGACTATCAAATAAAATTTGCGAATCATGATGTACCATGAACAAGATTTTGTTCTGACGCAATTTTATATTTAGATTATTGATACACGGGAAATTATTTGTTTTTATTTAGGTATTATGATTAAAGTTGAAAGAAAACCTGTTTTGTAGTTAAAACTCCACCAAACATTTTCGAATATCCATACAATAAAATTGGTTTTCTTTCATCCCTTAATTATTGCTCAGTTGGTTTATCAATCAGTCAAACTGATTAACAGTATTAAGTTTTTATTCTTCCAGTACAAGTTATAACTATGTACATGTACGTTTCGGTAGGCCAAGCCAAAAATACCCAGTGCACATTGTTTAGTCGGTTAAATTGAAAAAAAAAAACTAGACTACCGAATGAAATAATTATTAGTATCAGAAGTTTATTTTGACTGTTCAGTTTGTAGTTTATATCATGGACTGAATTTACGTGAAGAACCAAGAAACACTGATAGCGGTTCCAGTTTAATATAGGACTCCTATTTTACACCCGACACGGGTAAACCCCATTGTCCCCAGCTACTAAAATGGACACTTATATTCAGTGGACGTTTTTGTGATTGGATGACAAACGACATTTTTTTTGGTCAATTCCAATCAGATTAATGATTGTTAAAATCCAAATCTTGCTTCAACTGGATAGAAATTAGTTCGTTAACTGGAATCAAGTGTTCATTTTATTTATTTATTTGAACACATCAATATTGGTACAAAGGGGCACCAAATACATATGCACCACACAATTCACTTGATTTGTGTGTGGGGTATGATACTACCTGCGTGCCCAAATCGAAGCAGGAATCAAGTGAAATCGTAAACGCTTGTTTATAACTTTCATTTGTTACACTGAAAGTTAAACTATATAAAACTAATCATATGAAACGAATGAAAACCACTTTCCCTTGAGAAATAGTTATCGAGTCAAGAAAGTGAAAAATATCAAATTAATTACAAATAATCAAATTTTCCGTGCTTGAAGCATAAAATGCTTTTCTTGATCTATAATTTTACTCTACACACTCCGTGTTTAGTTAATCTAATTGATTTAAGAAAATGAACTGCATAAGAAGCTTTATTTGCTGAGTAATACATTTTACAGCTCATGGATATTAATTAGTGTTAGTGTGTATAATCAAGACTTGAAGCATTCAAATTCGATGGTGAATCTTAATGAGTTGAATAATCTAGCTTTTTATTGGAGTATTTTCACCCTTGAATTTTATGTAGTATACAACCTCAGTACATTGTGCAACATCGCAGTAAGCCCAATCAGATCTATTCATCGTATCACCTACTTTAATAGTTGTGATGATCACGGTTGGAACATCTCATTATATTCCCCAGTATTTCACTCTTTCGTGAAGAAATCAATTATTTTTAAGAGTCGTATTTTTTTCTGTTTTATGGAAACATGCTAAAATTTCTTAAAACTTAAAAGGGACCAGTTAATTTAGGGTTGTAAATGCATCGCGTTTCATTGACTAGGACGCTTGGTTTTCCCTAACTGACTTTTAATCCCTTTTTACCCACACTAATGTGGACACCCAGTGCTTTCACACTACTGTAGTGTGTGACTCAAAGCCCTGAGTACATCAATCCGTAGTTGGTAGCTGCGTTATTCATGTAAAATCCCTGTGTCTATGTAGATGTGTTCTGTCAAATAGTCTATATATTTTTCTAAGTGATAACCGAATGTAAAAGGTAATCTAGTCGTGATATTTCTATTTATAATACATTTTTTAATATTCTACTTATCCAAACATTAATTTAATGTATCGAAATATTGCTTTCTAGGCGCAATATAATCAGTCACAATTGGCGTTCGCTCAAAAGAGAGCTGATAAAATTTTAGGGTAAGTTTACTGTATATATACTCAATTAATTGAATTCATATAGTTGCCATTAATTGTTCATGATGGAATCTTAATTATATAATTGAAATATCCTATTTATTAATTATATTTGATAAAGTTAATCAACATTACTGACTAACTAGCACGAAACCTAGGTTCAGAGTATCTTAACGACTAGCTCCAACCACCTAACATCTTAATTAAATTGTACTATTTCCTTATTTCCATAAAGTCCACAGTTGAAATTCATTGCTCCAAAAACACCAGGTTATATTCTTCAATACTCATTAGATTATAATTAAACAAACTCTTTTAATGTTCGAGTTTTAACTAATGGAAATTTTGCTGATTATTTCAGTTATACAGGATAGTTGACTGTAATATTTTAATGGCTTTACAGATAGGTTTTTTGTGTTTTACATATGATAAAGCTAATAATATGAATTATCTGCATCCTGAAACTTTCTATGGAGGGTAATAAGTTAACTAAATTGATAGTCATCTACAAGTCAACTACTTAATCTCCCATCCCATTTTGTAACCAAACTGAGTGATACAACAGCGAGGGCAAATAAATACAATATCGTTATCTATGAAATAAATGATACTAACTTTGAAAAGCAATAATTCGGATAAGGTAAACATCCTTTTCACCTATACATAACCATGCACTTGTATTCAAATAACAGGATAGAATATCACTTATATTTATACATGCAACAGTCGAACACAAGCATTAAAATGATTGCGAATGTGTCAGAATTCTGAATGGAGTATACTCCAAGAACACTGGAGAGTTCTTTGAAACATATTATTCAGGTCAATCTACAATCAATAGGGATAATAATATAGATGTATTTTGCCAAGCATACGTTTAGTGTAGTCAATTGAATGAAATAATCAATGAAAATCCAAAGGTATATAAAGACAATAAAACCTTCTAAAACAATTGAAGGTCAACAGAATTAACTGATTTAATATTTATTGAGTAATTTAGAGATAACCCACATATATTTAGCTAGTTTAAGCAATAACATTATTGACCACAATAAAATTGAAGTTTTTACAACCAAATCACTATTGAATTTAATAAAAAAATGTAGTTAGAACCAAAATAGTTTACCACATCTAACTGAATAGATTTTATATCATTCGATCTAATTTATCTAATCTCCATATAAACAATTTTTGTCAAAACATTTGACTAAATAATTACAAGATTGTTATTTGACATTTAGTTAATCGATTGTAAGCAAATACTCTTGGTACGGCCGAGAGCGGAGAGAGTCCGCTCTCCCTCTCGAGATGCTCTCACATGGCCACGTGCATACAACCACTGCCAGGGAAGTCCTACTCACTACCTTCTCGTGGCATTACTGTTGTTTACGAAATTGATAGGACGAAAAGCGAATGTCCGTCGCTTTAACTGGGTTGGTGGACGCAGGGAGTCCACCTAATTGAGATGGAAAACCCTGATTCCAAACCAATGGTGCACGTGTGCTTTATGATCCTGAGAGAAAAAATGGCGTATGAACCAATTGTTGGTCGCCGGCTACCATAGAACTGCATCTTCTTACGTTGCTCCACTGCCTTGTGAATTAGACTTTTAGGTCAAAAGTTCCAGTTGTGGCCTCCTAAGAAAACCACCTACTTCGGTTTGGGCCCGCAGGCAGTTTCATAGCCGTCACACAAATCTAATTGTTTATGTGGCGTATATGTATTTGGTGTTTCCCATGTACCAATGTTTATGTGTTTAAATAAATAATATAATATAATCTGATATAAGCACTATCATCAACTATGCTTCACTTAATTAACAGGCGCGTCCACTCTTTGTATTCTCTCAAATTCTAATCTTCTGAATTATTCATGTCCCTTTTTTCTATTTCCAAATGTATTTCACTTTATTATAGTCGTTGAATAGCATCTTTCAACCCTAATCTTTAGAAAGTCTTAATATCGATGTTTGATGTCTATCTGAAACACGTATTCAAGACTCTGGTGAAGTACTACAAATTCGCTCTCCATCTGTCGATTCGAAAAGCTTATTTTACGTGCGCTACAGCTGAGGCAGCGCTAATCGATTGGATCCAGATTAACAGTCGGTTATGTGCTGTTAGATTAGAGAGTTCCATCAAAGTGAGAAGAAATCGGCGCGAGAAACGATGTCTTTTCGTCATCTCCCCCTATGCCCCGACAGATTGCAACCCGGATGCAATCAAGGATGAATTTTACCGCCAGTTATCTGTTCTTCTCCAGAAAGTGCGTTCGACAGATATTGTAGTACTAGCAGGAGACTTGAATGCTCAGGTCGGGCGTCTAGGCACAGAAGAGAGTCGTTTAGGTGGCCGATGGGGACTCGTTGGTCGCAGGACAGATAACGGGGACTGTCTACTGAAAATGTGCACAGATCACAACATGTTTCTGGCTAGCACTAACCTTCGGCACAGTCTTCGCCGATGTGCCACCTGGCGTCCTCCTTCTGCATCTCAAGCCTAGACTCAGATTGATAACATCGCAATCAGCTACCGCTGGCGTGGTTGTGTACAAGACTGCCACTCCTTTTGGAGTGCCTATCTGGACTTTGATCATGCCCTGGTCTGCGCCAATCTCACCTTACTTTTCAGTGGACAACGAAGTGACCGCCACCAAATGATTGATGTCAGCAAGTTGGTTGCAACTTCTGTTCCACGTAAGTATCGAATCGAGCTAGCTTCTAGGCTAGCTACCATTCGACCGAGAAGTATAGATGAGCATTGGCTGCAATTGCATGACGCCATGAAAATGACGAGTAAGGTCACTTTTGGGTTCGCGAAACGTCCCGCTTATAAGCACTGGGTTTCTTCTGGTTCCTTAAAACTCATTGAAGCCCGTCGGTCTACTCCGGGTGATCGTGAGTTTGACCACAAACGAAGGATGTTACGTAATGAAATTGGGCAAAGCTTGCGTAAGGACCGAGAAGCCTGGTGGTCGGAGTGTGCTAATGAGTCTGAAGCAGCAGCTGCATCTGGTAACTACCGAAAGCTCTTCCAACTCATCCGAGTCACTGGCAGCAAGAAGTCTGGTGTGAGTGAAACAATCTGCGAGGATGACGGGATGCCAATCACCAACATCCATCGACGTCTTGGACGATGGGCAGAATTATTCGAAGGGCACTTCAACTGGCCTGCTGCTCCGGCAACATCATTCAAACTGTCCTGCTCTCCTTGGCCGGTGCCGACTGATCCATCAAGTGAGGCGGAAGTCCACAAAGGAACTCCAACTCTTGAAACGCTACAAATCACCGGGTCCAGATGACTTACCTCCTTCTCTTTTTAAAGATGGTGGTGACTTTCTGACTAAGGAACTGACGACGCTGTTTATAAAGGTCTGGGAGCTAGAGAATGTACAAACGTCATGAAATGAGTCGATAGTTGTGTGTTCTGGCACAGAGACAATGATGCAATTGGTGTCACCACCTTGAAACATCGACTTCGGTGGCTTGGATATGTTCTACGAATGTCGTCCCAGAGGATTCCACGTCGTGCATTATTTGCGGACGCTGGGACTAGTTGGAAAAAGCGGAGGTGGTCAGTTTATGGCATGGTGTCGTGCTATGAAAGAAAACTGCAAAGGACTGGCTTCTGTTGGTCCTTCACGACTCCCTGGTTGGGGTCCGAGAGATGGTGCAACACAGTGGCTAGAGACGGTATCAGATATGGCTCAGAATAGAAGCCAGTGACGATCCTGCTGCAACCTTCTTCTACTTTCTTCATAAAAAAAGCGGTTGTATCTTCCCTAACTGAAGGAATTCTTTCTGGTTGTACCTTTCCGTTTCCCCCATTATTACCATTATTATTATTATTATTATTATTATTATTATTATTATTATTATTACACCACCTTACACCAATCTCTTGTTACTGTTAATTAACAGGTGTATCCACTTTTTGTATTCCCTCAAATTTTAATTTTCTGTATTATTCATGTCCCTTTTTTTCTATTTCCAAATTTGTTTCACTTTATTATACTCGTGGAATAACATCTTTAAACCCTAATCTTCCCGATTACTGCTTATGGTTTTACTACCTCTACCACTATGGGATTTGAATCCATAATTGTATCTCTGTGCTAATGTGGCATAGCAACTCGAACTGATGTACGCATGAACGAAGTTCCATGTTGCTGTAGTGTGAGCTACTTATATTGGTATGAGTAGTATATGACGCGAGTTAAAACGTAATTTTGGCAGCATAAGATAAGGGGAAGATCAAGAAAAGAAGAGCCAAAACACAAATGGAATTTGTAAGAAAACGTATGAACAATGAAATGGGATACAATGGATTGGTGTTTGCAACAAAAACAGTCCAGTTTAATTTGATGCATGAATATTTTGCAAATTGACGATTTACTATATAGTATTCTGATTTTATTGAGATAGTCTGTAATTGTTGTGCTAAATACATTTGATTGTCTCCACCCGTGTTCTTGTTCACTACATTGCTACTGACTGACTAATTAACATAGCTATTAATTTAAAAATAAACAGGTTGAAATGCACCACCGATTATTATTTCTCCAGCAACAAGTTACATAAATCTTGGTATAATTTTTTCCGATGTTGATTTGAATTACTTGTTTCTCTTTTTCTAATGTCTTTTATTATTTGAAAATTTAAGAAAAAACAAAAATAATACGAAAGAAGTATCAGCAGATCAATTTTCTTTTGTTTTAATTGTTCGTTTATTATTGATTTTTTCTCTACTCAATACAATAGGTTTCTATTTTAATTTTGTAATATATATATATATATATATATATATATATATATATATATATATATAATACATACAATACTTAGTATTCGTTGAGTAGTCACATGATTTCTTTTCTTGGTTCTCCATTTATGCAATACATGACAAGAAAAGTAAGAAAACTCTTAAATATACATGTAAAATTATAAATATAAAACGATTACTGTGTTGTTCTCATGAAATTTTAATTAGTTGTTATGGTCATAATCTACCACTTACTAATACTGTTACTACTAACCACATCCATATGTATAATTGTATGGATATGTGTTGCTCCCTCTTCTTCTTCTTCTCCTTTTTTCCCTTCTTATTCGTATTCTTATTCTTATTCTTCTAGAAATTCTAGTACTGTTTTTAATCTGCTCTAGTGCAAACACTTTAGCGAACAGTTTCATCATTGATTGAGTAACATTTCTTTATTTTCACATCATCCAGACAATACTGTCATATTATATATGAGTTCTAAGCAGTCGATCTTCCTCTCAATTATGGCGTTTCACAATTTCAATCAGTCGTGAGATATTTGGGTGTCATAGTCTTAACTAATTTGTTAGTAGTCGGCAAACATTCTCATTGTGGGAACTGGTGCTCCCTGACGGATTCGATCTCGTGTCACTCAGTGTCGAGTCACCTAGACTGGTGGCCGCATTGCAACATGATCGTTAGCATTTGATCTGCACTAATAAGGAGTGACATTGATCGCCACCCAGTGATCAATCAATTGTGATTACATCTCAGTCCTACAGGAGGTTGGTCGCGGCTCGGATAGCTCAGTGGTAACGTCTCTGACTGTGAAGCTGAGTGACACGAAATGGAATCCGCCAGGGAGCACCAGTTCCCTCAAGATTACAGGTACACCTTGCTGACGAGTGCCGAGTACCCCGGGTCCAGGGTTTCCTGTTGACTACCTCCAATCACCATCTAATGAGTTAAGTTCATTCTCTGACTTGGCATTTCGCATAACATTAGTTTTAAATTGTGAAAATGAACCGGAAATTTAGTGTTTTATCACTTTTATTTTCCTTTTGTTGGTTTTTTTCTTAATATGCTAATGCTGAATGTAACAAATTAGAGCTATACTCAATCGTACTAGATTATCGCTTGTTGTTACTTGTTTGCCAAAAAAACGAATGACTATATGGTTGGTACAATTTCTGTTTATTAAAGTATTAGGCTAAGAGATTTGTGTGACTGCAGGCTTGGTGTTTTTATTTCCTACAACCGACTAATACGTGTAGATGACCTTAAGCGACCAATACCCAGCAAAGACGATGGGAAAAACAGTGAACTGGGTACACAAATAATTGGTTATAGTTTATAAGTAGGGAATGCTATAGCAACAATTGACGGTCCAAATAAAAGCATGGAAATAGGGTAATACAAAAATAATAAAACCAATAATACTAAATTGTTCATCAGAATAATCTAAGAAACTGCACCGACTGTTTTGTGTAAGTAACCACTTATTTCCTGTATAGATATTTAAACACGAATTAGCATAATGTTAATGATAGAATTTCTAAGTACTTCATTTATTCACTAGTTAAATCAGCGTTCGTAACAAACATACTTCATGATAAATATGGACTTCTTCAGTCTCCCTATAATTGGTTAACGAATGTATTTATTTCATACGATTGATACATTTCACAAATTTAAATAAAGGGATAATGAAAATATCCGTAGAATCTAGTGAATTCATTGTATCTATTTGTTTTTTCTTTGACTATTTATTTATTTATTTGTTTGAACACATAACTCTTAGTACAAAAGGGCACCGAATACATATGCGCCACACAATAATATTGCAGCCAGTAGCAGTTATCATTGATTTGTGTGAGGGCTGTGATACTGCCCGGGGTTCACACCATCAACATTTGACCTAGAGGTCTAATCCACAAGGCGGTGGAGCAAAGTTAGGAGATGCAGTCCCATGGTGGCCTAGTGACTAATAATTGGTTCATACGCCATTTATTCAGTCAGAATCTCGGAGCCCATGTACACCATGTGTTTAAAATCAGGGTTTTTCAATTCTCCTAGGTTGATCCTCCTTATCCACCAACCTGAATAAAGTGTTGGACATTCGCTTTTCAGCCTCTCAATTTCGTAAACAACGCTACATACAAGTTTAATGATAACTTTAGCTATTTTTGAATGAATTAACATAGTATGGAATTGGTAACATGAATTATCCATTAATAACGAATCAATTGTTTGTAACGTAAATAAATAATTGACATTTTTTCTTACTAATAGTTATGGTTTTAGTATATTTATGATAATTTTTATTACGTAATATGAAAAGCATTTAAAGTTTCGAAAGACATTTGAGTTAACGTCACTAAATTATGATTATAATTAATTGAAAAATGAAAATAATAATCAATATTTAATTTTTTATAACTTTCAGTTCCATAACATGTATAAATATGAATTAGCATCAGAAGGAGTTTTGTGGATATTATAGTAATTTTAGTAGTTGAGATCATGAGTCGAATGAAGCTAGACCATCACCATGGAAAACTTGGAAGCATTGGACGGCTGTTTCGTCCTCAGCGGTGCGCATTCACGATCCCGCCTCGTGAGATTTGAACCCAGGCGGTCTAGCTTCAATTGACTCATGATTTCAACTATTCAAATTATTATGATATCCATAAAAATCCCTTCTGATATGAATCAACATATGCTCACTAGTGACTGGCTTCAAGAGATATATCCTGGAGTTCAACCAGGTCTGTTGTGAGATACTAACTCACTGATGACAATGGTGGATGTGTGACTCAATTTCGTGGATTAGTCGAAGTCAGATATTAACACTGTTGGATGCCGGCCAGCTCGGTGTTCTAGAGGTTAAGGGTTCGCGCGCGGGACTGATAGGTCGTGGGTTGGAATCTTGCGGAGCGGGACCGTGGATGCGCACTGCTGAAGAGTCCCACAACAAGACGAAACGGCCGTTCAGTGCTTCCAGGTTTTCCGTGGTGGCTGTCCAGCTTCAATCGACTCATGATCTCAACTATTAAAATAAATATGAATTGATGAAAATACTCTACTACAGAGTTGAAAAGTTACGTTCATCAGTAAAGCTCAAGGAGGAATGCGCTATCTTATGTAACGAATAAATGGGTACCCTTACATATTTGTGGAGAATCGAGGTACTAAATGCCATTGTTGATAAACTTGAAAAGAAACATAGCTCTATCTAATTGATATTCATAGGTGATATAATCACAAACAGAGTTAGTCAGTGGCAGGGAAAGATTGCTTTTAAAAATGGTGTGTATGCATAGGTTAATGTTATTTAACCATAGATACTTTTAATTAATTGCTTGGATATTATTTGGAACACTCAATGAGCAGTGTTGATATTAGACGAAGGATACTTGGTGAGGATAACAAATCGATTGATGAGGTGACGAATTCTAATCAACTGAGGTGATTGAGGTATGTAGTACGTCATACCTAACCAATGCCTACTTTAATGAGGCCTTCAAATGCGCTGGTACGACCGAGAGTGGAGAGAGTCCTCTGTCCCTCTCCAAATGCTCTCATATGGTCACGTGCATACAACCACTGCCAGGGAAGTCCTACTCACTACCTTCTCGTGGCATTACTGTTGTTTACGAAATTGATAGGACGAAAAGCGAATGTCCGTCGCTTTAACTGGGTTGGTGGACGCAGGGAGTCCACCTAATTGAGATGGAAAACCCTGATTCCAAACCAATGGTGCACATGTGCTTTATGATCCTGAGAGAAAAAATGGCGTATGAACCAATTGTTGGTCGCCGGCTACCATAGAACTGCATCTTCTTACGTTGCTCCACTGCCTTGTGAATTAGACTTTTAGGTCAAAAGTTCCAGTTGTGGCCTCCTAAGAAAACCACCTACTTCGGTTTGGGCCCGCAGGCAGTTTCATAGCCGTCACACAAATCTAATTGTTTATGTGGCGTATATGTATTTGGTGTTTCCCATGTACCAATGTTTATGCGTTTAAATAAATAGATATGTGTGATTACCTGTATTATTAGAGATACAGATGGTTGTGATAAATATACTACTTAACATAAAACCTAAGAACAACATGACAATCTTCTGATTGCTTCCAGTTACTTTGAACTAAGCAGTTTTCACCTAAACTACAAATTTTCACGTTTATTATTTCTGCAAATTTAATATGATTGTTATTATTATTTCTTATAGACAATCATCGAAACCGGACAACAAAAGTAACAGTGTTTTACCATCCAGTACAACTCTTACAGCCGCAAAAATGATGATGAAATAATGATACTGATACGGATAATAATGAAATTAATGATTATGTTAAGCTCCAGCTGTGCGTTTTGTTTTTCCCGTTAAATCTGCTGAATATTCTTTCACACACATATTCACCTATACATTTTTATTTTATATTTGTTTATTCATTATTGTTTCTTCTCTTAAACTGACCTACTTTTCAGTGCCTTTGAAGCTAGGACTATCCTATGTCTCCCACTTCTTGGTTTTTTTGATATCGTGATTATTCCTTTCTGTTTATTGGCTTCTTTGTTTATTTTATAAAGAATCATATCTGTTATAATTTTGTACTTGTTTATTTCTCTCGTACGTGTGTATATGTGTCTCTTACAACTACGAACAACACATTTCAATATAATCCTGTGCAAAACGTTTGCAATTTTCTTTCGGTGCCTTGTTAACAATGCCTTTTTTCAATTTCTCTATTCAAATTAGAGTTACACAGATGATTTTTTTTCGTTGTTGTTGCATGATTTTGGTTTATTTTTGTAAAATTTTGTAACTGTTTCTTTTTTTTCATGGAGTCAAAAAACATTTCACTGTTTTCTAACAACTGTTCACAAATAAATAACACTATATTGTTGATTCTGTTGAATATGTTGTGTGTTTGTGTGTGTGTGTCCCCGCCCGTAAAAATCTATTAATCAAAATGTATTAAGGATTGTAAAATTTGAATGATGAACCATCTCTTTCTCATTTGATAATGTTGACCAGTTACACTTAAAATTGCACACACATACACTCATATTTATTTACTCTTGAACTAAAATATAATATCAATCACTTTATTTATTGTAAGCATAAACTAACAACAAGAGTAAACCTAATTCTTTCTCTTTAATATGATATTTTCTTCGTCCAATCTGTTTTGGTTGAATATGAACGATTGATATCGGCATAGATAATATAAAAGACTAATTATAATTACTTATTCCACATGTTTATTTTTTACTAATATTAATTCTATTTGCTTCAGTTCATCACTGTTGTTAATGGTACGACAAAGAAAACCAAGAAAGAAAAAACTATTAATATGAAATTGTAAACAAAAGTGTAATTAAAATAAAAATGGTTTATTCAAAGTATAATTTTTAGTTGTTTTACTGTTATAATTATGTGAATGAATTCGCTTGTTGACTGTTTATTAATGGTAAGGATGTTGTTGTTTCGTCTTCCTCATTATATTAATAATAATAATAAGGTATGCCTATATAAAAGATTCACTTATGAAACTGACAATTGTCTATTATTTGTTGAAGTATTGTTGTTCTATTTCAATGGACTGAAAGAAAATTATGAGAATTCCATAGTTTATTATTCACGAAAATGTCCAGTTAATTTTGAATTAGTAACTATAGCTAAGTAGTTTATAAAAAGTAAAGTTTGGTTTTTTTAGAATCAGATTGCGATCAACTAGATAAAGATATAATATTGATTTGTGGAAAGTAGTGAGACAATGAAAGCGTCATGTCGAGAAGAATGTCTATGACAAAGTTGGATGAAAATGAGGAAAAATGTCGAGTCTGACGAGCGGGATTTAAGATTGGTGATTGTGATGTCAGTTATGCATAAGCTGTGATTGGATGCGTAGTGTTTGAGTGGAAAATCTGTACAAGGTTGATGTATTTTTCTTATACTGTTCTGAATGATTGACACAGAGAGAGAGAAGCTGGTACGTGGCCTTGGTACGTCCGAGAGTGGGCAGAGCCAACTCTCCATCTCGAAATGCTCTCACATAGCCACGTACCTACAACCATTGCCAGAATAGTCCTACTCACTGCCTTCTCGTGGCACTACTGTTGTCTACGAAATTGAGAGAACGAAAAGCGAATATCTGTCCCTTTAACCCAGTTGGTGTATGTGGAAGATCCACCTATGGGAGTTGGGAAACCCTGATCCCAAACCAATGGTGTACGTTGGCTGGCTGCAGTATCCTGAGGGAACAAATGACATATGAAGCAATCATTGGTCACTAGCTACCATGGGAGTGCATCTCCTGTCGTTGCTCCACTGCCTTGTGGATTAGACCTTCAAGTCAAAGGCTCCGGGTGTGTCCCCTAAGTAAACCGCCTGTTTTGGTCTGAGCACCCGGGTAGTATCTTATCCCTTACACTCTAAATTAGCTACGACTTCCCCTAATTCATTTGAAGTTGAATGACTTGTGTTGACTGTCAAAACAATATTGCTTTCAATGGTCTTGAAGTGATTTCACACACGCAATTGAAGAGAAGAAGAATAAATATTTGAGGAGAACAAAATGAATTTAATTTGTTTCGCTCTTGTTCTGGGCATTTGTTTACAACTTGTAATATTTAAAAAAAATCATGATTACGGGATTAGGTTCTATGACGTATGTAAATGAGCTTTGTCGTAATGCGACCATGTATGTGTATATCGTTTACTGGAAACCGTGTGGAATTCTATTCTTATTATTGTTTAAGTAAGCTGATTTGATTGAATCCTATCAGTTATTATTCTTTATGTTTTATGGTAACAGATTTATTTGGTTTGCAAAGTTATGATAATATAGTGCAATTTTTAATCGATTAACAATACATTTACCTTCATGTTATTATATTTTTGTCTGTTTTGTGCTCGTTTTTTCTTGCGTGGTGTATTTTGATGCTTTAGACTGATGATACTATACAGATAGTTTAGTTTTCTTCATCCTGTCCATAAAATCCATTGTTTCTAAATTAAATAACGCATTTATTAACCACCGTATTGTGCATCACATGTATGAATAGATATAAGTAGTATGCAGCAGAAATAAGAAGTGAAATGTTTGCCAGTTGAAGATTGAAATAAAGAGATTAGGTAGGAAAAATGAGAGCAATCGACATAACAACAGAATAGGAAGAATGATACAGTATTTTAAAAAAACTCTAGGAAGATGAGCGAATGATATATTTAATGTATGATTTTCATATTTTACAAAGGTACTGTGTGATCTATTAAGCAATAAATCGGTTTACGGTACCTTCGTTCACTACACCACTAAGTATTTATTTTCGCGTATTAACTCGTACCTTGATTCTGCTCAAATTCTGGCGATGACGATGGCTATTGGGCGAAGTAATCTGATATCGCGATGTACTTTCCGACTTGTAGGAGACTTATAGACCAATATCTGTAAGTTTACCGGAAAGTATACTGACTAGTTTGAACATTTTGAACGTAAGAAAAGTTACGTTTTTAGGTATAAATTTAACAGTTATATAAAAGCTTTTTGTTACATGTTGTCTTATAAGTATTTCATGTTCAACTATCGATGTTTTTTTCATGAACTGTGTAATTTGACGGTGACAACTCTGTTTACAAGATGAGGCGTTCATTTTGTTGAATATAGTACCAGACATCTTATAAATTTTACAGTAAACGTTTACTTGATTAACGTTATGGAATATAATTCTACAGCTTAAAGTAGCGTGCCAATGAACTTGCTTCATACAGATGACATTAATTCTAATTGATTTCGTTGTGGAAGATCATTCCTAGCCTTTAGTAACTTCCTATTTTTACGGAATTAATATTATGTATTGGTTGTTATTGGTTAAATCAGTTCATAATAACATAATTTGACATTCCAAGTGCAATCGATGAATGAATGCTAACAAAGTGTCAGTTTCAGTGACATTGTGCTGATAGTCATTACTTTCACTTTATCATAATTGTTGTATTCTTTAATCGTGCTATCAATTGTATATATTTCATTTTTAAAGTGTTTATAAATAATAAAATAATGTATATCACCACAGCACTGTTGATATTGCTGTTATAGACAATGTGGTTTAGTAAACAATGTGTTGTTTTCTAATTTTGACATTCATTATCATTCGTTTACTTTTTTTGCTTTAGCGTAATCAATGTCATGGTTAAGTAACTTAGCCAATAAAGCTGAAAATTTTTTAAACACCCTCGATAATTCAGCCGCAGAAGTCTTCAGGTCAACTGATCAACAGAGATTTCTTGAAGAACATATCAGTGACTATGTGGACAATAGTAGCAATTATCCCATTGAGGCATCATTTAGATATCACACATTAACCGATTCTAACCAGCCTAATGAGTTGTTGATAAATTCAAGACATGATATGCCTGTTACAGTGAAACCATTGGAAATGTCAGCTACAACTAGCTTTTATCAATCATTATCAGAGAGCAATAATCAGCGTACACTGGTTGACACACTAAATAATAACACTTTATCAGAATTATCATCATCGTCTTCTGTTCAAAGCAAAATATCCAGGTAATTATTTAGAAAATGATAAAAACAAGTAACAAGTTGCAGTTTATTGTTTAAACAAGTTATTATTACCATTTTTACAATTGGTTTGATCTTATCATTGACCTCTTTTATCGATACCCTAGAGGATTGAATTGGTTAATGAAGCAACCAATTTTCAAATAATTTTTCGCAAGTTAAGCGACAATCTAATTCAATTAGTTCTTCATCAAGGTTCTACACTAATATATTTGCTTTGTAAGTGAATAAGAAATCGATACCAATTAAATGGTGGTGGGTCAGTTTAACAAAGTAATAATGAATTAGTTGCATAATGTTTGGAACATTATAATTAAACCTAAAGTGAATATTCATAATCAATTGATTATTATAAATAATTACATAATTAAAATTGAATGTAAATACTAATGTTGTTATCTGTGAAATTGATGATAACATAACAAGAACCACTTATATTTACATCCAATTTTAATTCTGTAACTGATCATGAATATTCATTTTAGGTTTACTTACGCCTGTTACCCCTCGTGTAGGAGTATAGATCGCCAACTTGGATTATCCATCTAACTCTGTCCTGGTCATTCCTTTCCAATTACTGTTCATCCTTTTGGCGTTTGCTTCCGACTCCCAGCTCAGTATGTTCTTTGGTTTTCATCTTTCTCTTCCCTTCAGGATTTCAAGCCTCATAATGCAGTCTGATGATTTCCACAATGTATGCCCTATCCATTTCTACTCTTTTCTGGATATCCTCTTCAATTAGAGAGTGGTTTGTTCTCTCCCACAGTAGGCTGTTGTTGATGGTATCCAGCCAATGGGCATTGATTATCTTGTGTAGACAATTGTTTATACATACTTTTACATTTTTGATGATGGTTGTAGTAGTTCTCCAAGTTCCAGCTCCGTACAGTAGGACTCTCTTGATGTTCGTATTGAAGATTCTGATATTGATTGACAGTTGTTTTAAGTTCCATGAGGGCTGGTCTATTCACGAGTTTTTCGAAGTGAACTACCCACCTGTTCTCTTGTTCGTAAATCTCAGTGATTGGTTTGCGTTCTTTGTCCTTGACTATATTTCCCTGCCAGTTTCTTCGTCGTGTCATGTAGTTGTTTCATATTTCCTTCTCTTGTAACTATTTCCGCTGTCGTTGCCAACTCTTCCACGTACTTCTTCTTGTCAGCTTTAATGCTCCTCTTCACTTGCTTGTTTGCTTCCGTGTATTCAAGCTTGTGCCCTGACATATCTGTTCTTGTCCGGCTGTCTTTTTGTTCTTCCTTTCTTGAATCTTGTGCAGGGTTTCGATAGAGATCCATTCCTTATGATGATACTTCTTTCAGCCGACAACCTCCTGACACATTGAAGTTAATGCTTCTTCGATCGCTTTCCAATCGTCCTCAATAGTAGTTTCTTCATCTTTCAGTAGATATTGTAAAACTTAAAACCTGTTGTGAGCTATCCTGAATTTGTTCCGTTTGTCAGTATGACGAAGGAAGGCTGTCTTAAACCTTTGTAATGCTTTTTGTTCACTTGTCCAATGCTTCTTTAGCTTCAGTTTCATCATGTCAACTCCCAGGTGGTAATCCGAAATTATGTCCGCTCCATTCTTGGTTCTCATGTCTTCCGTGAACCCTTTGAATTTTTTAGTGATGCAATTATGGTCTATTCGTTTCTCCGTTGTGTGGTCCGGTGAGACGCATGTAACTTTGTGCATGCGTTTATGGATAATATTGTTCAGCGTATAACCGTTTTGTTAAATGCATATACATTTGCAAATCTGTCACAATTCTCGTTTCTTTCCTCCAGTCCATTTTGACCGATGATATCTTCATAATCTTTGTTTTCCATTCCGATCTCCCATCAGGATGGTCAGATTTTTTCTTGTGCATCATAATTCTTCTCAATGAAGATCTTTCAACTGGGACGTCAGATTTTAAATGGTTTAAGTTGTTTATTGCAGTTAGCTTTTTTTTAGCGAGGTTTTGTTCTACAGGATGGGATTGTTGACCCCATGTCCAACCCTCCTCCTTTACACGAGCTTGGGACCAACAGTAACCCTAGGAATGCTACAGGGGAAGTTGTACACACTCATAAAACGTATATATTAGTGTAGAACCATTATGAAGAACTAGTTTAAAAGGAATATTTCTCAGTCCAACTTGTTTTTTAATGTTTCAGTGGGATTATTTAATGTATTATCATTAGACCCTACAGAAAATGTGTTGCTCGATGCCTTGACTATTAAGACCTATACTAGGTAGCTGTGTCACAGTAATTAATTGATTTTCCTAAAATTCAGTTTCGCATTTGTAGTTGTATGGCATTATTGAAGTAAAAAGAGTGATTAAAAATCTTTGGTACCACCTATCCGACTATTATAGTTATGATGGATTCACAACACAATCGATCTCTTTAGTAACCTTACATACCATTGCGCTTAAATTATATATCATATTATTTGATGTTATGTCCTGCCGTCCAGTCCTGTCATTATGGGAATTCATCAACCAGTTATACAAGTCAAGAAAATAAACGCTGTTTCAATGAGACTATAAAGCGAACGTCCGGTGCCTTAACTAGGTTGGTGGGTACCGAGGATCCACCTAGGGTAGTTGGAAAACACTGATTCCAAATCAATGGTTTACATGGGCTCCAAGATCCTAAGGAAACAAATAGCATATGAACCAATTTATTGGCCACTGGCTACTATGGTTCTCTAAATCAGTGGCTTGGTGAGTTCCAGATTTGATTGCCTCTCCGTCTACTTCAGTTTGAGTAACCGATTTGTATTTCTAACTCTCATACAATCGCTACAATTGTAAGCTGAGCACATATATATCTATAATTGATCAACAAGTTACATTATATTAACAGGGTTTTTGCATTATTTTCAGGAATAAAGATTTGAAATCTGCAGCGAAATCAAACAGTTCGATACAACAATCAAATGATTTAGATTTATTTAATTTTTTAAATACTACTAAATCAGTCAACTCAAATGAAATTACCAATCCATTAGAACGAGACGCAGTGAGACGAGATTCTTTATTATCTACTAGCGATAAAGTTGAAGAAGATCAGAGTAGTGGTTATGAAACATCACTGTCGACTAAACACTCTGGTACACCTGTTAAAACAAGTAAAGGAGAAGTGAGTTCTACTGTAACGACTGTTCATGAACTAGAGGTTCTAAGTGAAGATTCTTGTAAACAATCACGAAATACACATCCCTCTATTACTAGTGATCTTCAACTGGAGAATAAACTTCTTCGTAGTGAAGTCTCATCTTTAAGTCAAGAAGTGTCTGGATTATTGCGGCGTAATCATAAAGCTTCAGAAGAAATTAAACAACTTACTGGTCAGGTGAGTGAGTATTGTTCCTTGAAGTATTTTCATGAATGGGGATAATGATGATCACTACTTAAAACATTTAGTTATGAAGTTGGGCCGCACTCCACCTACTTTTGTTTGAACTCCTAGAGAGTATCACTAATGTTCTCACACGATAATAGTATCGTTCATAAATGGACTTGAATTTTGCGAGTATCAGATGGGATTGAATGCTGAATGCATCGTTTTATTTTTGTTCTGATAAGTACTTTCATAGTTTTGACGGCTACTGATGTGAAATTGGCAAATTCCTAAGTTTGATAATAGACTGGTTACGGTTGAATCAATCGTTCAGATTTTTGTAGTTAACCTTCTTCTCTAGTGTTTTTTGTAGTTACTATTCCCAAAGATAACTTTCACAGATTTCATATTTACCAGACGTTTTGTAGTTAAATATGATTTTGTGTGTGTGTATGCTTGTTTGTTCTAATGAGTGATTAATCGATACTGTAAGTTTGAATTTTGCTTTACTTTTTACTATGTAATATACTAGTAAATATGAATGATTACACCTCTCTTTCGTACTTCTGGAACATTTCTGATTTCAGTAATTTAGTAATATCATATACAGTGTATTATTATTGTTACTATTACTATTTCAAATCCTTTACTTATTGATTTTGTAAATCTCAACTTGCGGTTGGTGATTTAATGTGACGATGTAGGTCGATGGATATTTGTATCAAATCCTTCGTTATGTCTAATTGACTAGCTGTAGTATGTTCATTTAATTCTGTATGCTACTGAAAATGTGAATAGTTATATTCTGACTTAGTGGCTTAAATAGTATCTGGCTGATTGTGAGATTTGGATTTTCAATGTTTCTCCCTGGTTGTCTACTAATGAACATAAAAATGAATCCGAAACATTGATAGACTGTTCCACCTGTTATATTCTGAGTCAGAAGAATAGTCGTTTTTACTTGAACTAGGTATCTATTGAACTAAAATTTGTAAATTAATTCCGTCACCACTGTTATAGCTTGCTCTTCACTACACAATTCAGAAATATCAACACAAGGGTGGCAACATTAGGTGAACGCAACACAGTTGCTCATCAGCACTATTTCTGTAAAACTCTTGGAGCAGCCATCAACTATTAAAAAGATAAGAGGAAGATATTGGTTATCTGTGACTGCGAACAATATTTTTAGTAGAAAAGATAACAATCTTTGTATCCGGGTTTCCTTCACTTATATTGATTATATATAAATAATTATAACTTAAAATGAATTTTGTACTGAATCGTTTTGAAACTGAATGAATATATAACAGAAATTGTCAGAATGCAGTAGGATAACATACCAAAATATTAAAGTATAAGTTAACGTTAAACTAGATGATTATTATATGCAGTTAACTAATAATTTTATTGTAGTTCACTTCTTGTCACCGTGAATTTCACTGATTCTCTACTTAATATCAGTTTACGATGAAAGAGCTTCAAATTTCACAGTCCAAATAAACTTGTTTTAATTACACTACTTTATATCAAGCTGTTCTGTTAAGATTAGCCTAGTTTTTAGGTGGTATTTTTCATGGATTGATCTCAATTACTTTACCATCGAAAACTAGGGAGTACTGGACAGCTCTTTCACCTCTTCATTAGAGTCTATCGGGGTCCAAACCTGGGATCTCTAGATCTTACAGCGATCCAATTTACTTCAAGATGAGTCCCCGAAATTCTAACAGGAGTTCATGATTCAGCTATGCCACTTCTGAGATGGTTGTCACTGATACGATGGAATAATCGTCGCACTATATCGCGAATGTAAATCACATGTTTCCCACTCGGTAATCTAATGGTTGAACATCTTAACACCCGAAAGGTTTCTCAAGGTTCTCGGACGAAGTCGTTGATATTCACTTCTGAGGATTTTATATTAAAACGAGGCAACTGGCCTGCGCTTTCTGGTTTCCACTGGCATTAGGGGTCAGAGTTTCCATCACGAACTGATATCAACTATAATACGAAAGTGATATTTAGTCGTGTAGATGAATGAATTTCGCACAAAAATTAAAGAGGCCCTGTCTTAAATCTAATAAATTCGTCCATTAAGTATAATGTCATCGGGTTAAGGTTATCGTTTCAGTAGTAAGGGCTTAGGAGAAGTGTTGATGGTATTATCTCATCTCTATACTACACTTTTACTATAAAGTCTACTGATTCAATTTCTATACCATGATAGGTTGATCGTTTGAACAATCAACTGAAAGATTCTGATCAACGTGTTCGTGAACTTCAAATAAAAATTAAGGAGTCTGAATTATCTAAAACGCCGAATACCAACAATGTTGAGTTGTTAGAAACTAAATTGAAACAAACCGAAATAGAATTGTCAACTGTACAAAATAATTTGAAATATGTACAATCTCAATTGGAGAAAAATAAGCTGACAATCGTAAGTATCTTTTGGTTTTGTATATCTCAGTCAATTATCTTGTTTTATTTAGCTCTATAAATAGGTGAAGTGTTATGCCCTGTTAACTTCATCCCGTTGATAATGCTAGCAAAGCTTTTTGGAATACGTTTATCATGAAGTAGTTCCCTTAAAAGATTAGATAAACAAGACACTAGTCGATACTGACTGATCAACCAGTTGTAAATATCTCGGTTATGCGGGAAGTCAGTCGTGGGCTGAACAGCTTATCAGTAACGTCTCACAGTGTGATACTGAGGGATGCAGACCCAGATCCAACAGGAATCATCAGTTCCCTCACAACTACGTTGTGGTTTAAGCTCCTGGTAGATCTCCCTGTTATTTGGGTATCATACCAGGCTACCTGGATTTACATATCACTTTTCTGATTAACTGTTTCTCTAGTTGCTCTTTTAATGAAATCATCTAATAATTGAAGTATTTTCTTAGTTATAAGTCTATTATCTGACCTTTTCACAAGTGAATATCAACATGAACGTCACTTAACTTGATAACCTTATTGCAAACTTAATCGATATAATTGAAGAAACATTCATAACTAGATGAAATGAAGTCGGTTACCACTATGTAATTTATCAGTAGTAGTATATCTATTATCTTTACTAGTTATAATAGCTACTTCCTTCATTCAATATTTTCATTTTCTTGTAGAATACTTTGGAAGCTAGTCTGTATGAATCTCGTCAACAGAGTTTAATTGCAGATAAACGAATTGAACTAACTCAAAATGACAATATTCGATTAACACGTGAATTAACACAATACAAAGAGAAAGCCAATCACATTTTAGCAATGAAAGAACGAGTAAGGCTTTTTCATCTCTCGAAAATTCTGACTGACAAACATATTTGTGAATAGTTGAATAAGTATGTAACACTTGAACCGATATATATATATATATATATATATATATATATATACGTACCAGGTTCTACGTTACAATTAATTGACTGACGGACTAGATGTAATGTATCGTTAAGGATGTGGATGATATTTTTTTGTATGTGATGATTCTCAACGTGCTTCTCGTATACTGAACCTTTTCCACAAATCATACCCTACCATTAGATTTACAATGGAAAGTAAACATGATAACATATTTCGTTTTCTAGATCTTGGTATTAAACGTCATCCAAATTACCGATTAGAGATATATATTTATCGAAACGCCATGTGGAATGAGCTGTAATTGAACTTCTGTCCGATAAGTTACAAGAGAGCTTTAAATGTTATTCAATTGTGTACGCAGATTGTGCTCTGAGAATAGAATCAAGGAGGAATTAGGTATAGCTCACTTGAGCTTTGCTTGCATGAAAACGGTTATCCGCAAAAGTTCATAAATACGGAATCACTAGAAAAAGGAAATCGATTATTCTACGGTTTAAAAAAGCCTGTCTTCTTAAAACTTGGCTTCAAAGGTGATGAAATAGCTGGAAGGATCGATTCTAGATCAAAGGCAATACTAATGAGCATATATCCAGCGACCAGATCGGTGTCCCTATACCAAGGCAGATACTCACAGCGACAATCAAATTTGGACAAATACTTGCCTCATGTTACCTCTAATTTTGTTTATCAGTTCACATATGCTTGCTAAAGCACATACATCAGTGGAACAGAAAGGTTTGTGTCCACATCTTCGAACATATTCCACATAAGTTGAGACTAAACGAACAGTTTTTCAACAGTGCAATTACTCGTCTTTTTCTTGATAGTGGGTATGTTGTTCAAATAATCAATAAACAAAGGAACTATAAACTGTTACACTTTACCAAAACTGTTTAAATAGAAAGATCAGAGCTGAATGTATGTATCCAAAAAGAAACAGCTATAAATCTTATTTTACCCTGATTACTTTATTTTCGTGGGATTATGACGTAAAAGTTTGTTTTTTATTATCTTTCCACAAGCTTTAATCAAAATCCTAGTTTTGTAATTCTTACTTCTGAGCTTTACTCGCCTGGTCTGTACTACATAATCTATCTTCCGTTTCAGGAAGAAAAGTTTTTTTTGTTCCCATACTCTTCTACAATATTCATATATTTAACCTATGAATAATCGAACGTTTGAACAATTCCAATTCTTCTCTATCATGGTCTCTTAATATTATTCTATCCCTTTATTTTAACTCAGTTGATTCTGAACATTACTGATATGCTGTATGTATATTTGTTTTAATGATTGATGCTGTGGTTTTCGATTGTAAACAGCTGAGAAGAATTCACAAAATAAATGAGTCCATGTTATTATGCTACGATATTTGTTCTTTATTTATCCACGTTTATAAATGAGAGAGGTTGTATCAAAAATCATCGAACATTTATCAAGCACCTTCTAAACATGCTTTCAAAGAGATTTTCTTCTAGCTGATCAAAATAGACGTACAGGATAACATAACTAAGTAAAGAGAAAGTGGACTGTTCGTTAGATGTGCGGAAAATTAAATTTTGATTGACTGTGGAGGCTAAAGGAAAAAGGAAAAATCAAACAGGTTTCACATCATTAAAAATTTCATTCCCCTTTTCAATCTCACCTTCATCAGTATGGTCTGTTTTAATGGCCGCGCTTAATAATGTTCGTCCTTTTTAACTGTTCCCTTTTCTCTCTTTCCCTAATCGTGTGAATCCTTCACAACCTGATCTTTTTATTTTGTATATATAAATTAGTGTACTGAATTTATATTCAGTAGTTACATTAAAACAGTAAACGTGATGGGGACTTGTTATGAATTGACAATTTGTTTGCTTATTACATTTCTTTTTTTATTTATATCTTATACGCTAAAAACACATAAGCCGACAGTATGGAATAGATGTTCTCGTTTTTGTAAGGTGTACATTTTAGTACTTCGAGTCGTGCTCTACAGATATGTAACATAAATTTCAAGGACCTTTAGTAAATTAGAGTATTTGACTATTGATGAATTATTACGAGGATCGTTCTCATATCATTATGTTAATTTGAATGTAATTTAACAGTATTACAACTCATTTAGTTGTTTTACTGAAAGAGACATTTGTTTTCTATTCATTAAACATTCTTGAACTATTGACTTCTGTGGTTTGTACACATTTTTATGCATGAAATTATAACTTTGTATTCTTCACTGGGTGTTGTATTGACAGGTGATTTCATCATTACGTGGTCAAGATGTAAATTTGGAACAATTACAAACTACAGTTGTCAATAGTGAAAATAATTCAGAAAATGAATTAATCACTTCTATACGTGCAGAATGTGATTTATTACGTGAAGAAGCTACTCGATGGCGTCTAGAAGTTGAGCATAGAGAAATGGCAATGCAAGAATTGGAATTGCAAATGCAAGCTGAGAAAGATTCATTACGACGTAATATTGAATTATCAGAACAACAGGCGGAACGTGAAAAACAAGTTAGTTAACTGTATTTAACAATTCATTTTGCTTGTTTCCAGGAACGCTGAAGTTTTATCCAATTCTCATTAGTTTTAATATTTTGATCAAGTATCATCATTTTTGTGGACACCGAGAGTCAATCTAGCGGAGTTGGAAAACCCTGATTCCAAGCTTATGGTGCACATGGGTTTTAGGATCCTGAGGGAAAAAATGGCGTATGAACCTATTGTTGGTCACCGACTACCATCGGACTGCATCTGCTGACGTTGCTCCACTGCCTTGTGGACCAGACCTTTCGATTGAAGGCTCCAGGTGTGGACCCTAAGGAAACCACATTCTTTGATCTGAGCATCTGGGCAGTATCACATCCTTCACGCAAATGAAGTGACTTGTGTGGTTCATATGTATTCTGTACCCCTTTGTACCAATATTTATGCGTTCAAATAAAAGTGTTCTACATCCATTTTCCTCAATAGTTGTAGGGGAATAATGGAATACACTCTATACTGTCATAAACTAGATTAGTGCTTTCGTTGTTAGTACACTTAACGATTAAGCATGAAGTTGCAGGTTTGATCTTCACCCCATGAACTCTGGTTTTATGAACTGTGTACTAGCATCAAACCTTACAAGAGCATTATGTTTCAAAGCCCAGTACAAAAACATGTGATTTTGATGTCTAATATATGTATAATTATCCAACTAATGTTAATACGTCCGAGCCTGGCAGCCAGATAGAAGTTCACTATATAAGACATTGCAATTTATTCTTTTGAATTATATTATTAAGTCAAAAAGACCATATAGGTCCTTATTGTGTTAGATAGGATAGATATATTCTATTCTCTTTTTCTAGCATATTTTATCACTTCTTTTGGTAACCAATAAAAAACTATCTTATCATAAATCATAAAAACGTAGTGGATACTTGTTTATTTTTGTGTATTATCATTTTTCGTGTACTGTAGACTGTTCATTCGCAATCTGAAACATCAATATAAACGCGGTACAAAAGCTCATCCACAGGACTTGAGTTTATTTTATCTTTATAGTCTTCTTAAGGACGAATATGTTTTCTTAACTTTGACCACATTGTCTCATTATTATTAGTGTGGATATCAGTAGTGGGGTTGATGAAATAACACTTACGAACTACAATTAGATTGTTATAACCTTTACTCTCTCCAATCATCCATAAAAATGGTAGTCCTTGATTTCATATACCATACATAAACAAATATTGTTTCTGTATTGTAAAGATCATATTGTACATTTGGTCGTAAGAGATTCATGAAATGACACTTCACTACATTCTATATCAAACCAAGTTCTTTCGACGTGTAATTGCCGTTAAAGGTACAATCCACATGAGTAACAGATGGTTCTTGTTAACTAGCTTTCACACCACGTCGTATTAACTGTTTTGTGTTCCATAGAAGATATATTCATCAATTTCAAACAAACTAGGAACCAAATATAAGCGGTTTTTACATAACTCTTAGTAAATATACATGCTATCTGTCATGGCGTTTCCAAGAGGCACTATCTCAAATCTGATTACAGCATAGTTCTACCCGTATCTGACCCCCAAATCCCCTGGTAGACCAAAAGTGGGGAGAGTCAGCTCTATTTCTCCAAATGCTCTCATATGGTCACGTGCATACAACCACTGTCAGGGAAATCTTTCTCACTGCCTTCTCGTGGCATTACTGTTGTTTACGAAATTGATAGGACGAAAAGCGAATGTCTGGCGCATTAACCGCGTAGGTGTATATGGAGGATCCACCTATGGGAGTTTGGAAACCCTGATCCCAAACCAATGGTGTACGTTGGCTGGCTGCAGTATCCTGAGGGAACAAATGACATATGAAGCAATTATTGGTCACTAGCTACCACGGGACTGCATCTCCTGTTGTTGCTCCACTGCCTTGTGGATCAGACCTTTGAGTCAATGGCTCTGGCTGTGAACCCTAAGTAAACCACCTGTTTCGGTTTAGGCACCCGAACAGTATCCTAGCCGTCACACGAACTGAATGATTAATGCGACTCATATGTATTTGGTGCCTCCCATGTACCAATGTTTATTTGTTTTTCTATAAATAAATAATAATCCTGCTTGCTGGACTGTACTAAAGTTCCTGTGCTCTATTTCGCGTGTGTTTCGATAGGTGTCCATCACAGAACACGACGTGTGACGTAAAATTTGTCCACCATTCTATAGTTTCAGTGATTTCCAAACTGATGCTAGTTGTTATGAAAATATGTGAGATGGCATTATCGAACATTGGTAGTGGATGTTTGTTTTTAGTGTTGAATAACTGTTGAATGTCTAAAGGGGTACACCTTATCCTGTTATATTTAAGTATAAATTCTTATATTATGAAATTAACTGATTATTATCGTTTTGCAAATTTCTGCTTGTTTTTTGACATCTAAATGTCACATGTTCTTATTTAAAACTAAAAAACAAAAACTCAAAGCTTCGAGAAGAAGCTGATACAGAGTTGGCGCATTCAAGACAATCTATACGTGAATTAGAAGAGACATTCAGTCGTCAAAAAGCTGACCTACACAATAAACTAATGTCAACCGAGTCAGAATTAGCTCGACTTAGACAAATAGCATCGAATGAATCGGTACGGAACACACCTCCTTCACGAAGTGATCCAGAAAACATATTGACATTAGAATCACGTATTAGACAATTAACCGATAATCTTTTATCGAAACAAGATGCACTGGATTCGGTGTTGGCACAAAATCATGCTTTAAAGGTGAGTTATATGAAGTAAAATTTCTTGATGTGGTATAGAAGATTTGTAATTCATGTGGGCATTTTTAGTGAAGTTGTATTCTCTGAGCTGTGTGGTTTCCAGACTGTAATGAATCAAGTAACAGCAGCAACCAGAAGTCAAAATCCGGGGCGACAGAAAAAAATGTTAGCCGTATGAGGAGAAATTCAAATAGCTCATGTAGTGGCTGGTACTATATCAAATGCACATAGGCTGTTCTAACTCTAAACAGACTAACTTATTCATTCTCCTCAAGCCATATTTTTATCCTAACACTTATTCACTTATTAACACTGATTGTTTTTTATGATCGTGTGTACGTGTATTGCTTACCCTATTCATCACATGTCTGTAACTCATTTTTATCGGACTATAAATATTGAGTCGCGCTTGGTTAAATCTAGTTGGCTCACTTGCTTTCTCCCACTCATTTTGTTTCTCTCTCTCCTCTTTACTTCGTTTCCTCGGTTGTCTGTTCCGACCAACGATTGTATGAAATATACGTATTGGTCACCCATTCCGTTATTAGACTTATTTTAACACCGTTATTCACTAACGCGGTTTAGGTCGATAATTACATACGATGATTGGTGGTATGTATGTCTAGATAACAATCATCATTCGATCTAGATGGGGTCAGATCAGTCGGTACCACTAAACTCAATTCTATCTAAATATTATGCTGATAATGTTTAGAAAGACGATGAAAGCTTGACGACTAAATTACTCAGCTGATTAGATTTGATTGTACTAAAAATAAGCGTGTTCAGTTTCGAATAATCAATATTTCCTCAGAACAGAGTGATGTTTGTGCCTATCAATGAAATCCTATGATAATTTCAATCGTTTTAATTGTATAGAATGATTAAAAAGGATTGTACACCGTCTGATATTAGTTATATTGTTACCATACGTTTAGGATACGTTTTACTTGTGATGAAATCAAATTATTAAATGAATATTGTAATTTGCATTTTTGGTTGTCTGTTTGAGATAACTTAATGCATATGAATATATATACTAATAACATTTCAACGGAGATAACTGGTTGTGCCTAGTAAGAAGGGAAAGAGAAAAAAAAAGAGTTTGAATGTTTTGCTTTTATGTTTTTCAGTTTATTTGTTGTTAAGATATTTAAATTTTGATTTCGTAGATTTATGAACTTGCTCTTTGTATTTTGAAATACATCATATAATTAGATATTGAAAATAGTTATTTATTCATCATTTTGTTGTTTAACGGTTAAAGTAGTCCACTTTCAACTAGGAGTTTCAGTGTCAAACACCGCTTCATCTATTCTTCAGTTGGAGCACCTGGTTGATGATACTAATGTAATCCAGTTATTAAATATATGTTAGTGTACTTGACTTTCAGTCACACTGTTTTTTTTTCAAAGAGTAGTTGAAGTTAATCATCTGTCTAAAATGAGTTAGGTGAAGTGAGTTTCGGTCTTGAGATTTAAGTTATCATTATCCGGAATGCCTTAAGTACTGTTCTTCTGATTTACTTGCTTTGGTTATTGGAAGGGTTTTAGATGCACATTGTCAAGGAGTATTTTTATACTAATACATAAACAACCGTCCAGTTTTTAAATTTTTAAATATCTAAATTCAGATCAGTCCGTGATGAAAAACACTGAGAAGTTTTAATATTATCGAGCAGTATTAATACTATCACCATAAAAATCAGCGCCGATTCAGTTTGTGTAAATTAACCTATAGGTAACAAATGAGTTCTATCATTATTTTGTGAATTCTTCTTAAACCATTTTTGAATGATTTCATCATTCCCCCGCTGTTTTCTATTCATTTTCTTTTTATATCTTGACCAATCCTACCAATCGTATCTTTTCTCTTATGTTTATTAGATTCGACTTGATCGTGTATTGAGTGATAATGAATCGCTTATTTCAGCTTTACCTAATTATGATACTCAATTGATTTTGGGATATGGTAGATCTTATCAATCATCTATTGGAGGTTATGGATGTACTAAACTAAATCTACATGTAAGTTGATTTAATGTTGATAACTTAATTATTAATATTAATACTTTCCTGTTTATTTCTTCGGACTTTAGAAAGAGAATAATTTGTTATTTTTTCTTATGATTTTAATCACACTACTTTTTTAAAGCCCAACAGTGATACTATTCATTTGCATAAACTGAAATAGGCGTTGTGAGTTTGAAATCTAACACTTATTAGTTGAAAATTGAACATTTAAAGTGTTCTAGACTCTACTTCCTCGAGGAGCTCTAACACCTTACGGAAGACTTCTTCTGGTTCGAGCAATGCACAATGAACAATAGTAGCCTTATTTTCACCATTAGAATACTATTTATTTATTTGTTTGAACGCAAATATTGGTACAAGGGGGCATCAGATACATATGCGGCACACAACTTTCATTTGATTTATATGAGGGCTATGATACGACCCGGGTTCCGAAATCGAAGCAGGTGGTTTTCAGAATACTGAATCAAATAGTCTAACCTAAATTGTGATCCAACGGTTATATCAAAACAGTCTTGGAAATTCTGTATGAAACTCCAATAGTTCCTGAGATTACCATCAAACCTTATGATCTCTCTCTTTGGAAGGTCTAAAACTTTAGATATCATTGTTATCCAGTTCTTTCTAGGAGGAAAATCAACTCCACGTGAAACAGATGTAGACTCTTACGACATCAGCTTGTCAATCACAACTTGAATATAATGTTCTCTTCCCTTTTGACGTAACCTTTCCAACTCAATTTCTCTTTCTGTCTGAGCTAAGCATACTTAGGCTGATTCTAACTGTAACAAGGGATCTATTCGGTAGCCACTTTTTCTAAATTGGTCACTACTATGAGTTTCTGAATAGTGGGGAGGCAAATCAGGAATCAGATCAGTCTTATGATTTTTTTCACAAACATTTAACAGCATTCAAGGGATGAATTTTTGACGAGATACTGGTCAAAACTTTGTAGGATTTAATTTCTCCTGCAGATATGCTACTAGAACAGTAAATGTGATACTGGCGGTGGTGGGAGCTTAAGCAATGACCTTATTGGCTAGTTATGAACATAACTAACAACTTGTTTTGAGAAAAGTGTAGCGGTCTGTATTCATTATAGTCCTTAAACTTCGTATATAGTTCGTTCGACAGTGTATTAGTCAAAAGGCGAATACGAAGCGTTGATTAAGTTTATCATTGTACCACGCACAGATAACCAAATTTACAGGTACGTTAAGCAAGGATGAAAGAGTAGTGCCGAAAAGTAAACAGGCAAGCGAATGAACGTGCGGATCGACTGAACTAGTCAGCGAGTCAATGAATAGGATTAAAATGTGCATATATATATATATATATATATATATATATATATATATATACTGAAATGAATGAATCATCGAATCAATTAAGCAACTAATAGCAAGGCTAGCAGAATGAATATATGCGTTGGCAGTAAGCAATGCTCAAACATACAATTCATACACGTGCAACAACAATAAAGGTACAATGATACAGATAAGTGGTTATTGTACGAATGCCTCTGTACGTTAAATAAGTTAGCAAAAGGGCATAACCAAGTTGAATGTAAACAAACTCAATTGCATGTGAGCTGCTATAAACGATTTATAAGATCTGATGTAAATTTCTTTAAACCATGTTGTATAAGTAATGAAGATAATTTTTCCCTATGTACATTTCTAGCAATAAATGCTGAAGGTTGTTATAAATTGTACCCTGTATGCTATTAATGTATAACGTAATGATACCGCCAATTTGAAAACAGTGAATTATCGACCGGACCAATGATGCATAAAACAAATACGAGCAGTCTAGCATAATTATCGGTCGTACTTCCCGTCTAGCCCTGCCTGTTAAGTTCAGAACACCAATCTCAGCCTGTTATATGAATCATATATTTCAAACATACTGGGTTTATATACCAACCAAACAGACCATATCGTACCATAAAATAGGAAACAACGTTTGTACAAGATTTAGACAAAAGTGGCCGTGAATGTGGAGTTAGTAATTGATAGACTGGGAATAACTCAGTAATGGTAAATCGTATAATAATAGTCTATGGGTCAAAATAAAGCTTATGATAAGAGGAACATGAATATGAATAGTTTAGACATTTAACATATATACGATAAAAATATACGCATAGTATTTGTCCATAAATGAATCCCAATAGTTACCATTCATTATTCCCATCGGGATCTAACAAAGGTAAAGAAGTTTCGTACGTACTACCGAATAAAATATCCTCAATATAACAGAGAACGTTACATATAAGCCGAAAGAATCCATTTATCTGATGTTAATCTTTAGAACATTTTACACTTGTTTTATCACTGGTACTTGTAAAAATAAGACAAAATTAAAGAAATATCTAAAATGGAGGTAGGTATGCTAAGTCATCTTTTAACCCATCAATTTTCTTCACATGTTTTCTTATCTGTTCATAAATGACATTCAAGAAACGGAATTGCTCGGCTTTATATTTGCTTGAATGTATTGAATATTGACAAGGGCCGCATTCCTGCAATTGAAGAACATATGGAACTCAAAACAACTGTCAATCAATATCAAAGTCAGAATCTTCAATACGAAAGTTAAGACAGTTCCACTTTATGGAGCTGAAACTTGGAGAACAACTACAACCATCATCAAACAGGTACGAGTATATATAACTAGTTGTCTATAAAAGGTACTCAGCATCCATTGACCGGATACCATCAGGTACACCCTACTGTGTGAGAGAACAAACTAGCTTCCATCTGAAGAGGAAATCATGAAAAGACGATGGAAGTAGATAGGACATACATTACGGAAATCACCAAATTGCATCATGAGACAAGCTCTAACTTGAACTCTTGAAGGAAAGCGGAAAAGAGGAAGGCTGAATAATACATTGCATTTGGAAATAGAAGCAAATATGAAAAGGAGAAATAACATCTGGAAAGAGCTGGAAAGAATTGTGCAAGACAAGGTTGGATGGAGAGTGCTGGTGAGTGGACTATCCTCCTCCACAAGGAGTAACAGGCGTAAGTAAGCAATTAAATATTGACACGTAAACACACTGATTATCCTATTGTTTCTATTACTATATTCCATTCGTTACAATAAACTGTATTTGTCAATGTATAATACACTCTTTTTTATTACTTTGTTCCATATAGGATACCCCGATTCCTAAACAATTAAGACCATTAGCTTATCGAATAGATAATTTTGGTATACAAACCGTTAACACTTTTCGTCGGTTCCCAGTTATTCGTCTAACTGTTATCATTTATTTAATAATTCTCCATTTATCGATAATTATTGTGTCTTTCATGCCAGTGGATAACCTGAATAAGAAAACTGTTACGGTTGGTGGCAGTGGCAGTAGTAAATTGGTTATAGAAAATCCTCCTATTGAAGTTAATCAACTTCCTCATGTTTTAAATAAACCTTGAATTAGATAAACACATTGTCTCTTCCTCTCTCTCTCTCATTCACACACATACATTATAACGGCCTCTATGTTCTTGTGTCTTTTTCACTTTATTGGTCTTTCTGTGATGTAATTTGTTTATCTCTTTTCTTTAATTCGGTGTACTTTTATGTACTACTGAAATGAAGGATAAATAGTAGTATGTTGTGCGTTTTGTTCTTTTATTCATTTAAAGATTAATTAATTATTCTATTTTTTGGAATAACTATTAAACAACTTCAGTAAATGAGGTTTTCTTTTTGATAAAAGCATTTATTTGAACTCCACATTCGTACATATAATTGTTTGATAGAAGGATAGAAGAGATTGATTACATCATCCGAGATTTCAAATATCAAAAGAAGCTTACGTAATGATCAAAGAGTTAGAGAGGAATAGTAGCTTAAAAATTATTTGTGAATTAGTAATATATGGGAGATTATTATCCGCTTAACATAACTGAAGAAGAAATGAAAAGAAATACAGGTCATAATAGTAATTGAACCATAATCATTAAAACTCGTTAGAGGATAAATAATAACTGGCTACGGTTTAAAAAAATGTACAAAATCATAATAAAGACAAGCATAAGACCAGAACATACTAGAGAAGGGAATTAAGATCAATGAATGATGAGAGTTTGGATGTATCGCTTTACATACAGAGTTTGGGTTTGTATTGGTGAATCGTCAAAGTCCCAGTGTTTTGACAGGGGTGTCCAAAGTCTGATACTGATACGCGATGTACTACACGCTAACCGGCGAACTGACTACTTAAGCGAGAAAATGTATTGGACTACCGAATAAAATGTGAAAGTAATCATTCATATAGATACCACTCTAGTCCTTAGGAAATTGAGCCATTTCTTAGCCAATGACATGCACTTGTACTCTAGGTCACTTATGATTGTAATCGATTGACCTTCTGATTAGCTTTGCATATCACTCAGTAGTGCCTGTGTTTTTGGTTTGACCTCCTTTAGGTCCAATCCTTTCTACTCTATAGATTGTTTTGAGGACGACTCCTTTGGAGTAGGGTGCACAGAGGTGATCCTGTTTTGAGCTAGTGATAGCTTCGCATTCCCCTTTTAAAATGTTCTCCAAGTAATGTTCCGAGATGCGTTTGGAAAGTGTTTTCTTTGTGTGATCAATTTAACATGTCTCACAAGAGCAAGTAAATTTATGGATCCACATCGATGTGGCCCGAAGCGAGACTTTATCTTTAATAATTTCGTGAATGGTAGGTTGTTTTGAGAAGCTTAGCTAAATAGAAAGTTTTCCTCGAAGATTTCGTAATCCGCTTATTCAAAATCTCAGAAGTCGTATCTCCCTTAAATTCGATATTCATAATAAGAGGTTTTTATGAGTTGATGATCCTTCAGAATATAGTCTTGGAGTTACGTTTCAGTTGATGAATCTAGGTGACTGGACACTTCTTATGAGTGTCTGTCGAAGTTAAATCAGTTTGTTGTCTATTGTGTCACGAGAAAACTTTTGCTTACTCTCCTATGATAAATAGTGAATTAAGTTTCTCTTCTCAATGTACCCAGCTATAGGAATTCGTATACTGGTAATCTTAAATTGATTTTCTGAATACAGATATTTTTAAGAAACTATCTGGCCTTCTCTTCAACAGGACGTTGCGGAAAAGAAATTTGGCATTCACTACTGCTTCAAATGTGAATTTAATTGAAAGGTCTGAATCGCTCGTTGATAGTACGTTGTAGAAGTAGTAATTTCCGATAATGTTTTTCTGATACAAATATCAGTTGTTTTTAATATAGCCACATAAAAAGCATGTAACCTTCCTGAGTGAAACACTTAAAAATGAGTAGTGACTTCCAATAGATCGTTCCGCACAAAGATATATATTCAGAAAACTAAAACGTTTTACATCGGTACCAAAAACAAACCAATAAAGACGGTAAATGCCGTTAAAAGGATCACATGCATTCATACTACTGTATACAACTAAGTAGTATTTCTAGAAAAACAAAACACCCTTTAAATCAACGGCAAATAACCCGTAAATGCTGGATAACTCACACTTGTCAAGAACTCAAAGCAAATGAACAATCTCGAAAAGCCACACGTATTCAAACACTGCCAAGGAAGACCTACTAACTGCCTTACCACGGCATTACTAATGTTTACGAAATCGAGAGAACGAAAAGCGAATGTCTACCGCTTTAGCCGTGTTGGTGGATAAGGAGGATCTACCTAGAGGAGTTGGAAAACCCTGAATCCAAACCAATGGTGTACATGGGCTCCAAGATCCTTGGGGAAAAAATAACGTATGAACCCATTGTTGGTGACTGGCTACTATGGAACTGCATCTCCTTACTATGCTCCAATGCCTTGTGGACCAGACCTAAAGGTCAAAGTCTCGCACTGTGATCCCTTAGTAAAACCACCTGTTCTTGTTTGGGCACATATGCAGTACGATAGCCGATGATAAAACGAAGTGAACTATGTGATGCATATGTATTCGGTACCCATTTGTATTAATATTTCTGTGTTCCAATTAATAACTAATACTATACCATATCACTTCGCAGCTCAAAAAGAAACACACAGGGAGAAATATATGCAGACATTCATAAAATTACCATCAAAAGTATGACAGATTCAGAAACATGATACACTGTAAGCGTTTTATGAAAACCAATACGTGCGTGAAACAGTTCGAATTACAAATAATAATAATGGAAACAAATCAAAACAAGGAAAAGATGCTGCATTATTCATGCTGCTGGAAAACAAGTGTTGGTGAGAACTGTGCTGAAAATAATAATCAAAATAAATAATCCTTATTAAAAACTTTCTACTCTGCAAGTGTTTGCAATACATTGATGCCGATGAAGGTTTTAACCGATTGAAATGCGAATGACAACATTCACATCTAAGTATATTTCAACGAATGATTACATAATTCAGTAAATAAGTTACATTTGTCGGTTATATCAGTTTCATCTTCTGATGTAAATTGTGCTCAAATACTAAGTGATGAACATTTCGAAATTACAAATCCTCAATATCATTACACGATGATAATAATAATAGTAATAACAATAATCAATAAATTACGTTCTCGATGTCGTAAGAGGTTGAGGAATCAGCTCATCCAAAATTTCCGTTCATTAATCACTCGTCACATTTACACTAACATCATCGTGACATTCTCAATGTCCATTCAATTCAATTCCCTATGTTGACGATTTCAATAGTATTCGTCGTCAAAGTCTGGAAAACCAACAAGACAAATGAAAACGGTAAATTCAATCACCATCAAAAAGAAGCTTCTCAGAAATATCTAGAAAATGATGAATTATCTGTGACATTTTGATTGGATATCAATTCATACAGTTGGTACATTGAACATGTTTCGCTGAGAGTTTCTACAAAACCCACTGTTACACAGAACTCTACAAATATACTCGATGATTAGTACATAACTAAAGTTAAAGTAAAATCCACACATTTCATGGCTTTCCTCTTCTGTTCAAGTTGATGTATAGAAGTAGTGTGAGGTGGTGATGCGAAGTGACTAGAAAGTCAGTTATGAATGTTCCAGTAGCGGATACTTATGGAATACAATTGGACTAAAATTTCATTTCTCATAAACCTACGTGAAAGAATTCATCGTCATCATCATTATCAACAGCAACAACAACATCACTGAAATCGGAACACGCAATAATCGAATCTGATGTGTGAATCTCTCATTTATGACGAACTCAAATAACCTATTCACAATAGACATTGACAACCACTTGGATTACAAATAATCTATGAGCATATCACTACAAATAATGATATGCTTGATATTAATCGAAACACACACAGAATAAACACAATGATAGTTGAAATTATAATTACACAATCAGTAAGTAATATTAACAATAATGTAGGAAAAGAATCAGAGTAAAGAATTTCAACTGATTTCAACTACTATTAGTTGTTATACATTCTCATTTTAAAATATGCAGATAAATCCACTCATGTTGTCATTTCATTTGACACATCATTTCAACATTGTTTTAGTCTATACTAGACAGTTTTATTATTATTTTTTATTATTACAGAAATACAGTCCCTTCTTTTTAATCTACATACATAACACAACGGATACAAAGTTTATCGGAAACATTGGTGCGTCATCGACATTCAAAAATGAATCAAAATGATATGTCTGGAAAATATGTTTTCTGGCATGGAATCCATGTCATGTTCATTCTAAATCTTATCGCGACACACACATCAGACATTCACAATTACTGCCAAAAAGACAACATTATTCATTAGTGTTGTATGAGTTGTAAATTATAAAATCAAAATTGAATGACTGATGATGATGCATAGTAGTAGCTCCATGTAGAGCACTCAATTTTATCCATATCAATCAACTAAATATGTGACATAAGTCATTTACACTTTATCATATTGTATAACGCCATATTTTTAATGTTTCAGTGGTTTTTTGTTTTTTGAATATTTCTGTAATTTCATGTGTCAGGAAATTAGGCCAACTGATTTACTGAATAGTTGACCATGTATAATAATAATAACAACATTAGAAGTATGTTTTTGCATTTCACACGTAATTAGTTGCAATTCGAAAGGGGTTCCTTTATGTTGTGTATCTCAGATACATAAACTAGCATAGATTAGTTAGCACACATGATTTACATTAGAAAATTCAATTCGATTTTAATATTCGCTTAGCACAATCAGGGAGAAATTAAGTAGAAACACTAATATCAGAAATGGGTTTTGGGGATAATACAGACTAAAAACAGACATAACGGCGTGAAGAGTGTTCATAAGCAAGTTTCTTTCATGGCATGTATAACAGTCTTTGGCATTGAATGATATATCGTCTCTACGACCATTACTGATGAAATTCATTTTACTACTACTAAAATACAGGACATTATTCTGAATCTTTGCGCATTGCGGTTATACATAATTTCGATACTTCATTAATGTTCGTTGGATGATATTAAATCATGATCTCAATTATTAAAATTTCTATGATGTTCGCAAGAACCCCTTCCTATATGAATCAACATATAGGCTCACTAGTAACTGGCTTCAATATATCTTGGAGTTCTAGTGAGAAATAGTGACCAGTGGAGTTCAACCATGCGTGTTGTGAGATGGTAACTCACTGATTACAGTGGTGGATGTATGACTGAATTTTGTGGACTAATTGAAGTTAGATATTAACAATGTTGGATGCCGGCGGCTC